TTGCTTCCACAGTGATTGAATAGCATTGGCTGCCAGCCTTGTGGCTGGCCTTTCCAGCGCCAGTGGAAGGAGATCTCCACCAAACAGGGCTCTCCATCCCAGCTCTTGTGCACCTACCACTGAGTTCCTACCTGGAATTCATAGGAAGGTGTGGATCAACGCTATTGGTTGTTGTTGCCACTGAATCAAAGGCTGTGTCCCAATCTAGTGCAGGTACCACAACCTGCAGGAAGAGAGGGTGTCAGAGCCGAGGCTGGTAGAGGATTCTCAACAGGAGTCTGGAGAATGCACCCTATAGCCAGTAGGTGCAGTGGGAGTGGTATCAAGGTGTGTTGTTGGTTGATGGGGCGCTGTTACTGGTAGACGCTGTATGTTGTCTCAAGGGCTGGTGCTCAATCTGGTGAAGGCCACCACAGACTTCAACAGAGAGTCAAGCCAAGATTTGTAGAGGGTACTCAATTCAGTGGAATGGACAAAGACTGAGGAGTCACTCAACAATCAGCTAGAGATGTAATAGAGTCAGGCGGTGATTGATATCTGGGCCACACCACGCTGCAGTTCTGTCTGGGGCTCAATCCTTTGGAGTCAGACAAACTCAGTAGGAGAGCAGGAGCAGAGAGGTGGCTGGTTCAATAAGGGGGTGTTGCACAATCTATATGTGGTACTAGAGGGGCAACTTTTGTTGGTTCTTGTGGGGGTGAGGTCCTTTGGAGAGGAGTTGGGTATCCCAGGGAGGAGGCTGTAGACGACGAAGAATACAGTCAAGCCTGGTGATAGGCCTGAGCAGGGTGACTGGCTAGACTGACCTTAGCTGGAGCCAACCTGTACTCAAGTCCTTACAGGAACTCTGTTGTTGTTTGTTGTTGGGGAGGAGTTAGATATCAATGGAGGAGTGGTAACCGTAGTAGGATCAATGCCAACAAGGACGTCGGGAGAAACCCAGAGTGGCCAGGTAGAAAGTAAGAATACAGGTGTAATTCTCTTCTCGGTGGTCACTGCAGGTATCTCGTGAAGTCCTGCTTGATGATAGTAGAGGCTGTCGTTCGATCCGTAGTACGGAAGAAGAGGTTCGTACGAAGAAGAGGTACGTTCGCGGGAAGATCAATCGATTCACGGAGTAGCGAGTCTTGGATCGATTCGAAGAGTCAGTTGCCTTAGGGGTAAGGTTAACTGATCCTGTTGTTGTTGCGGAATGATCGTTCGATCGTACGAAAAGGGCGACAATGGGATTTCTTGGGCCGTTGGTAGTAAGAGCAATGTGAGTTCACTGCAGGGTATGGAGGAAACTTGCACTGCCGAGTCTACTGAAAGCCGGTGACTTCTTGTGTTCAAATTCTTCCAACTTGGCCGTCGGCGGTCGAGAATAGAAAACCCGCCCGATCTCGTAGGATTTCAATTGGGATGGCTTTCTAATCTGAACCAGAGAAGGCCGCTTTGATAGTCGCTTGATAGGAGAGGTGCGCTTGATAGGAGATACCAGAGGAGGTGTCGATCCTGTCAACCGGAGGGCTTGAATGAGAGATAAAGAGAGGAAAAGGGATGTGTGTTTTCTGTGATGACGTTGAGTGGATTCCTATAGTAAAACAGTACTCATCGCGCTTTCATTATGGGGCATCCCCCTATTTAGTTTAGTTTTAATCGTTCCGTGGATCCATTAGAGACCACGGCAGGAGTGTGTTGGCCGGTCTAGATATTTAGCGGACCCGGATAAGAAAAAGACCGCACCGTCGTAGTATTTTAAGGAAACTGGCATTCTCAGAATCCAGATTTCAGAGCGACCAGGCAGAAAGATCATTCTTTCTGCACAGCTCGCCCAAATCAACAGATTAACTTGATAATAGCTAGTAGTTACAGTGTTGCCTTACCCAACAGTCGTGCCTTCTGTGACCCTTGTCAGGGGGCGAATGCAATACACGGCTTTTAGCCTTATTCGCGACTCGATCCTAGATAGGGTTTGAGTTTGACTCGTGACGTAGTCCCTCGCGAATAGTAGTCGTCATTGAGAAAGGGTTCTCATGACTGCTAGTCATACTAGGTTGTCGATAAAACATCGCTCTAGATATTTAGTCTGCGTGGAAAGCTTCCACGCTACTAGACAGCAACTAGATGAAGTTTCCACGCGTTCCGGAAATGGACCGTGGAGTACGTAGAGTTATTACCATAACCTATGATATCACACTTCAAGGCCTCCCGCGGGAGACCAACTTCGATGAGCTTCACAATGATCTCTCTCATGGATTAGTTTTCGTAGCTTTGTAATCTCTCTTATAACTTTCATTCTCTCAAACTCAAAACACTCGAAAGATCTTTACACTAGCTTTTAGCATAGTGCACTCTCACGTGTGGTCTACCATCTCCGCACCAACGGCGCCGATGCCTACACCCCCCTCTTCAACCACTTCAATGAGGCCCGCAACCGGTGGTATCCTGTGAAGCCCCAGTTCATCAACAGTCTCCTCCGCCATGCCGCCGCCCTCATCTCCCATGAAACGGGTATCGACCCTGCCAATGTCTCTGCCCGTTCCCTCCGTCGCTCCTGGTGGTGCCATAGCCCTTCTCTGCGCACATGTTGACTCGGATGCCATCTGGCTCCTTGGCCGCTGGAAGTCCGATGCCATGCTCCGCTACCTGCGCATCCAAGCCACTGCGGCCACCCACCACTACTCCCAACAGATGTTGGACCATGGGGCCTACAACTTCCCGGGAGGCACCTACAAACGCCACCTCCTCCCGGCGCAAGCGCCCCAACACTTCAATGAGATTCTTCTCCATGAAGAACTCTACGAGGACTAACCTACCCTAGTCCTCGGCCCTCTGCCCTTGTCTACACCTGGCCAGGGGGTTTCTTCTCCCACCCCGCTACGCTCCCTCCCTGTTCTGCCTTTGGCTTTTGGGTTGCACGGCTGAAGGCTGTTCCGTGGAACATCACATTCCCGGGACTCCCTTCTGCCGTGTGGGATCTATCTGGGACTCCCCAGTCCTGAATGGTACCCCGGGGATTGGAGACGGTTGGCTCAGTAAATGGCCGAGTTTCTCTATTCACCTAATCCTCTACTAGTCGTGTCTAGCTGCTCTGGGCAAGTGCAGCTTGTCTGCGCTCCTATGGATTACAGGGCAAGAGCTCTAGATTCGTAGTAGCAGCGCTAAGACAGTTTGCTGGCTTATTGCCTGGAAAGATGGATATCCACCAATCTTCGTCCATAGTTGAGAATAATGAAATAGTAAAGTACCTGAGACCCGATAGCATATCAGTAGTCTCGCAGTTGACCAGTTCCTGTGTAGCCCATGCTAGGGTAAATAGTAGCGATTCAACCATTCCAACAGTAGTGGTTGAATAGCATTGGCAGCCAGCTCTGAGGAGCTAGCTTTGACAGCCCAGTGAAGGGAGAATCACACCAACCAGGGATCTCCCAACCTGGCGTTGGCCAAGTCCTTGACTGACAGCCATCCTCCTGCTGAGGAAGGCCAGTTGAGGCTCCCTTACTGTCTAACTACCAGCTGAGATCTGAGGAAGAGATCTAGAGAGGTTATTCCCCGAGGAAAGACCTTCCTAAATCTCATCGCGCTCGGTGTCGAGCAGCAGCACGCCTGGGGAACCCCCCATCCGAGTTTCCACGCTCCGCGGCGTGGAAACTCTAACCCTCATGGGGTTCTCGCAACTATGACCCTAATCTCCTCACCTACAACTCAAGTACATCTCTACATCTCGCAGGTCACCAGCTGCGTTCCGGAATTGCTTGGATACCCCACATGATGATGCACTGCATCAGCTCCTCAATGCCTCTCGAACAAGATTACCCTTAAGGCAACGACGCCCGTCCAAGACCACATTTGGCAAGATCGACAGCGGCAACCATGAACCACTAATGCCAGCGACCTAGCCAAAACCAGCCATTGAACTGCCGATCGCAAGAAGATTGTCTCTCTCTTAGCTCACAATTCTTCATTCAGCCGACGCTGAAAGCAAGAACCTAGATTATATTAACCCACCTCTCCCTCCCTGGTTGCACGACTGAAGGCTGTCCCGTGGAACATCACATTCCCGGGACTCCCTTCCGCCGTGTGGGATCTATCCGGGATTCCCCAGTCCCGAATGGTAGCTACCCGGGGGATTGGAGATGGTTGGCTCAGTAAATGGCTGAGTTTCTCCACTCATCTAATCCTCTACTAGCTAGTCGTGTCTAGCTGCTCTGGGCGAGCGCAGCTTGTCAGCGCTCGCAGATAGTACTGTTTCCCAGACTGCCACTGCCCGATTGAATAACAAAAGCTCCAGCTGCTGAGGTGAGCTGACCCAAAAAGGCCCAGCAGAGAGCTCTGCTGGCCCTCCTGTCTGACTGACAGGGCCAAGTCCTTGGCTTGGTGCCTACTGGAGGTGTTGACCACTCCTGAGGCACGACAAGGCTCCCTGCACTGCCTGACTACTAGCTACCGCTGTTCCTGAGGAAGAGTTTCAGCGAGCCAAGTCCATTACTTGAGTACTGGAACTAAAAGTTATTGGCTGGAGTTGATCATCTTTTTCGGTGATTCTCTGGATTGTTTCAGTATCTGGAGTCGCTCCCTGTTGCATAGGCTGCAGTGTCGTGTCCTGAAAGTCTTGACAGTGCTGATTGGGTTGCCTTGCCATAGGATGCTCATTTCAATGCTGTTCCTTTGAATGTCTCGGTTGAGTTGGAGTGACAAAAGGAGGTGCAAAGTTTTGGAATTCGTTGGCGAAGTGTCTTGCAGATCAGTCTTACTTGGCTTGCTGTATGGGAGGCGAATGATGTCGTCAAAATGTTGATATTCGGTTAGATGAGTGCACCATAATATTATTGTATTAGCACACCATCCCCTTCGGTCTGCTTTCAGTCCCATAAATTGAAGTTTTTGAATGAGTCACGGATACCATTTCGAATGCATCGAATGATTTAGCCGATTTGATCGAGGGCGTCGATCTTCAGCATTGCACCGAACATCGATCCATTTTTCTTTGAATTGCTCTTTCAAACGCAGAGACGACCATGGAGCAACTGATTCCTATCGCATCCAAGCTTCAAGATGTTCTCGGTGCCTTGGGACAGACCACTGCAATTGATTTGCCTCAGATCGTAGTTGTTGGCGGACAGTCATCCGGAAAATCAAGGTGCGAAACGTTTTGCTGATGGTGTGTGCCACCTGGCAAGAAACGAGTTTTGCAATGGCATGGGAGATATTTTGTATCATTGTCGATCTCTCCTCAAAGTATTTTGTTTTCCCGACAACTCTCTTTTCATTCAGTGTACTGGAGGCCATTGTAGGACGATCTTTTCTTCCACGGTAAGGAACGAATTGAATTGGCACGCAACCAATATGGTAGTGGTGAGATTTTGTTCTACACCTGTGTTAACTCATCTCCTCGCTCTACCTACCGTATTCCAAAAACAGAGGATCTGGCATTGTGACACGAAGACCCTTGGTTCTTCAGCTTTTCAACACTAGTCATGATGGCCAAAGCGAAACGGAATTTGGAGAGTTCCTGCACCAACCCGGAAAGAGGTAAGCAAATTGATTCGCTTACTGTTGAAGCTTTTCATTCGCGGTGCTCTTTCATTGTACATTTAGTACTGACGCACCAGATTGATGCAGATACCATGACTTTGTGTCCATTCGCTCGGAGATTGTGAGAGAAACTGAGAGGCTCACAGGTCCCAATAAGGGAATCGACCACGCACCAATCCACTTGAAGATTTACTCTCCCGAAGTGCTGTCTCTGACTCTGGTAGATTTGCCTGGAATTGCCAAGGTCCCAGTTGGAGATCAGCCCGAAAACATTGAAGAACAGATTCGGGAAATGTGTATGGAGTACATCTCCAATCCAAACGCAATCATCCTGGCTGTCACCAGCGCCAACCAAGATATCGCAAACTCTGACGCGTTGAAGCTGGCACAAGCTGTCGATCCTCATGGAACCCGTACTGTGGGCGTCTTGACCAAACTAGACCTCATGGACGATGGCACTGATGCCAGCGACATTCTCATGAACCGAGTCATCCCACTTCGCAGAGGCTATGTCGCGGTTGTAAACCGTGGACAGAGAGACGTCAATAACGACCTTAGCATTCAAGATGGTCTCAAGAAGGAGGAAAGTTTCTTTCGAGCACACTCTGTGTATGGAAGAGATCGCCAGCTGCTTGCCAAGTGTGGAACCAAACGTCTTTCACAACACCTCAATACTATGCTGATGCACCACATTCGAGATTGCTTGCCTGATCTCAAGAATCGAATCATCAACATGGCTGTGGATGTAAACCAAGAACTCGAGGCTCTCGGCACCCCTGCCTCTGTGGCGTCGGGACCTTCGTCAGGTGGTGAATTGCTAAGGCTTCTTTCCAAATTTTCCACCAATTTCACGGCAATCATCGAGGGTAGAGGAGGGCAGAACGATCTTAGAGGACAACGCTCCAAGTGCGACCCTTTCAGAGAACTCTTTGGTGGAGCCCGTATCTCTACTATCTTCACAGAGGTATTCGCTGCTACAATCTTTGGTGTTGGTCCCTTTGATGGGCTCTCTGATGAAGAAATCAGGACAACAATATGCAATGCTCACGGAACGCGACCCGCTTTGTTTGTTCCCGAGGTGTCGTTTGACATTCTCATTCGCCGCCAAATTGCGCGTCTCGAACAGCCGGGAGTTCAATGCGTTGATCTGGTCTATGAAGAGCTCCAGAGGATTTCCTCTCAATCGGAGCCATCTGAATTGACCAGATTTCCGACTCTACGTGACCGCATGATTGAGGTCGTCAATATGCTCCTCAAACGCGCCATGGAGCCTACACAAATGATGGTGTCCAACTTGGTCAAGATTGAATTGGCGGTAGGTCCACGAAAAGCTGTGATATATCATGGTCTTCCTCTGTTGCTCACGTATACCCTTCTTGTGCCTGTCTGTCTACTACATGTAGTACATCAATACTAGTCACCCCGACTTTATCGGAGGGTCTCGTGCTGTGGCCCAGCTGATGGAAAAAGTCGGAAAAGAGAACGATGACAGGAGAAGTACACTTCAGAGTGGGAGTGTTGCCGGTGTCTCCAACAACCCGCTCTCTCCCACTGTCTACAGAAATGCCTCCGAGAATTTTGACGATGACAACGGAGTCTTTCCGGATGGAGGACCAGGTGATAGTGGCATTATGAACTTTATTTTTCGCGGCAAACCGACTGTGCAGCCGCAGAGGCACCGTGGAAACTCGGGGCCATCATCCGTCGTCCATCTGCCGCAAGTACCGGACACGATGAAGCAAACAGACACACCACCTACCGAAAGGGATCAAGTGGAAATGCAAGTGATCAAATCATTGATTGATTCCTATTTCAAGATTGTCAGAAAGGTGAGCTTTGTGTTGTGTAGGTGGTTATTTTGAGTTCCACTGATAGTTAGCTCAGCTCACTCTTGTGTTGCGTAGAACTTTGTGGATCTTGTTCCAAAAACCATCATGTACTACCTGGTCAATCATGTGAGAGATGCAATGCAAAACGAGCTCGTGAGCGAGCTCTACCGTGATGCGGAAGTTGGCAATCTGATGCAAGAAGCTGAGGACATTGCTCAACGTCGCCAAACTTGCGAAGAGATGAGTGATTTGCTCGGAAAAGCGATGGATATCGTCACCGAGGTCAGGGATTTCAAGTAAGTGAAGGAACTTGAGCGTCACTCCCAGCATGAGGAAGGGCTGCTGCTCACATTGCCTCTTCTTTATCTCAGTACATTCAAATGAGTGAAGATAGTGCGACAAAACAACGGTGACACGGACCTTCCTCAAGACGAGTCTAGTTAGTTTCTGTTTTCCCCATGGACCAGTACCTGGTGGTGCCAGCGTCTATTTTCATGTTGGCTATGCAAATGATAGCACTAGTCTACTAAACCACTAACGCAATAGCCTGATAATTTGAAAACCAAAAGCCCAAGTTTCCGTCCACCAGTAGAAAGTAGAAAGAAGTTGAGATCCCACATCAACGTCAAAATAGAGCTTATTAATAGTTTTGAGCCCTTCTCACTTCCTTCTAAACCTCCAAGTTAGACTAGACTAGACTAGACTACTGCTCCTGTAGCAACTTTGTAAAAATATCTTGGACTGGTCCGCCCAACATGAGTTCCATGATGGTCTGCTCATGCCCGGTGTCATCCACGTAAATCTCTTTGCAATCAGCTACATCAGTCGTCTTGAGCAGCCGAGCTGCTTCCTCTGTTGCTGAGTGAGGGACTGTTTTGTCGTTCAATCCATGTATCAAAGTTATTGGAGGAATGGCACAACGAACAGCTTGTCGTTCGTCTTCCGATGTACACTGTGACGCGATATCCACGAGCTGTACAGCCGGAGAAAACCTCAAAAACATTTGTCTGGAGTGTCCGTTTGCGGGTGACATGGGCGATATTTGTTCGACTCCGCGGCCAGCTTCGTAATCGTAGTGGCGATCAATGTTGTATGGTCCCGACATGCCGATCAATCCATCGAAATTGATTCGTTTACGTCTCCGATCCAGAGCTGCAGCTGATGAGATCCGAGAAACTTCTAGGTCTCTTCTGGCTCTCTCCACTATAGCGAGCATGCAAACATGTGCTCCCGAACTATGTCCGAATAAAAAGACGTTGTTTTGGCATAGGAGTGGGAAGAATTTGGCAATTTCGGCAACAGCGAGTTCCACGTCTTGGATCTGTGTACTGGCATCTCCTTCCGGATACACACGGTATCCCACGACAGCAATGGCCCAATTGACGTCCATAAATGTATCTGCCATGAGTTCATACGAAGCAGGACCTCCAGATCCCCAGGCACCCCCGTGGACAAAGACAACCAATCCACTGGCAGGTTTTCTGAATTCATCCGTTTGTGCTGGAAGATAGATCTCGATCTTTTGGGAAGATGATTGTTGGCCATAGTGAATGACTCGTTTGTGCCTGGATAACCGGAATTTTCGAGCCAGTACGCCAGGATATTTCAGAACCGTGGGGACTACTTTGTCCACTGACATGATTTCCATCAAGTAGAAGAAAAATCCAGAGTCCCGAATGGAGTGGTGTAATGCCCGTTCGGCAGCATTGGTTGTGTCTTCTTCTTGCCTGGCACTTAACCAGTCAATCATGGAGGCGATCACTTTACACCCCAACACTAGAATCAATAGGAGGCTTGCCATGTAAACCGGCGGTGGATCTTCGTCACTGGTTGGTTGAAACGAAGAGCCCGATACCAGCAGATTCTTCGCCTTGGCAATGCGCCACACGTTGGCCAACGGAAGAACTACCAAGAGGGTATTCAGGATATGTGAAATTCTTGCCATGATCGGCTCCTTCGTCGTTCTACCAGTCTCGACTCGATAGCTTCGATTCGCCGTGATTAGAAGTTACTTAGCAAGCCGCCGTCCTCACAGAGGCCTTCACACTCATGGACATCAAGAGCTGATACCGATGATTTCTTCTGTGGTGGCTGTGGTGCCTCAGAGATCGACGTCTATCCTGGCAGCAAAGAAAGATCGCCTTTGGGATTTTGGGGTATAATAGTCTGAAGGCTTATTGCTCTGATTGAGTTCAAGCATGTTAATAATTCCGCCTATTTGCGTTAAATCCACGTCATGCACTTCTTCATCCACGCAACAACCAACAACCAACAACCACCAACAATAAGTGTACCAATCTTCAGGCAATCCAAGCAAGAGAAAAGAGATGACAATGGATCAGCGTCTTCAGAATGGATCCCCAATACAGATAAAGTTGCTAAAAGTCGAACTTGGTCGTTGGCAAGGTCATCTCGAGAAGGTTGTGGACGACTACCAATCTGGCGCCGAAAATTTGGACCCTTCTACCAAGAATGCCAATCTACGGGGAACTTTGACGGAGCTGCAAGAATCCCTCGACTCATTGCGTCGGAAACACTTGGCAGAGACTGATAAAAATAATGTTATTGGAGATCTATACACTGGCTTTGAGGAATGTTCCGTCAAACTTGATCAGGCCAAGGCGTCATTGCTTCCCAAAGCCAGCTTTACCTTTCGACGTTACCGAAAAGCATGGAAGGAACGTCAAACAACAACATCTACGAGACAAGACAAAGCGAAGGTCACAAAGCCGGATCCAATTTCCGATACATTATCGCCAGCAGTTGAAAATCCTCTGGCAAATAAGAGCCATGTCTCCATGGTTGTCACCCAGGCGGAACGGATTGTCACTCGTCCAATGGGAGACACTGCCGAAAGTTTAAAGGACTCTCCTTCTGAAAAGGAGCTGTGCTTGACTGGAGGTTCCTTGCTTATTGTCAATATTCAGCACTCGTGCATCCAATTGCAAAACAGTTTCCAGGAATTGCATATTTCAAATGTTTCACATTCCACCATCCGAGTGGACAGTGATACCGCTATTTCGGGAGCACTGCATATGACAAATTGCAACCATGTAGATATCCATGTCAAATCCTTTCATCAGTTGAGAATTCACGAATCCAACAACCTGAAGATTCACATTGCCGACGCAGAACGGTCTGGTGGTGCCATCATGGAAGAATCCAACAATGTAGTCTTTTCTATCGCTCCAAAAACACCCACGGCATCCTCAAGACAGAGCCAAGAGCACAGCAAATGTGAGCTACTAGATGTCAAAGACTTTAGTTGGCTGCACAGAGGAGTACCCAGTCCCAACTTTCGAGTTGACGTCCTACCAACCAACTCAATAGTACCCACCAAGAATGCATCAATCAGGAAAACAACATCTGACGAGCAACCTTTCGTGACACAACAGACAGAAGTTGGGACCAGTAATGCCGAAACCCAACTATCCACACAACCACAAGCTGAGCAAGAAGATAGCGACGATGACGAGCTCTAATACGTTTCACTTCTCGACGCTTCTCTGTGTCTTGTGGTACGGTTTTGTTTGACACGTGCTTCTCTTTTCAAATGCATTTGCCACACATCACTGCAATTTTGTGGCGGTGCTTTGCTTGGGATCGAGCCGCCTGTTTCATCATTTGCCATTTTGAAACCATTATCTCGCCGGAGAAGCAGTTGGGAAATTGTCGCCTACGAGCCTCTATTTGAGGACACGAAACGCAAGACAATAATAAACACGGTTTCAGATGCGTCGGTGACGTAAGGAAGCTGGTGTCTCGCATTAACCAAGCACACATGGTGCCTCCTAGGATATTTGTGGTGACACTCGTCGTCCAAGCTTCATCGTAGATTCAAGGTGGGAGGCCCTGAGTAGGTATCTCCCCTTGGGATGCAGGACAACGACAAGCTAACACTCACTCCCAACAAGCTAGAGTAGACACTGTATACCAACATCCTAAGACTTTCTTTGCATTCTACTCTTAGAACTTTCTCAGCAATCAATGCCCACCCAGCTACATCACTTCAACAATTCTGTAAGGAATCCGCTCAAGCCCAGTCGAGGGCTGGAATACGAATGTCATAATTGTATCGCGTAGGGTCTGGAGCAGACGTGCTCTCGCTTTCACTGGTATCATCCTCTTCCGTTCCTCCAAAGACTCTGTTCTCAATAACGCGAGCGCGTGTTGACATGGTTTCTCTTGAAGCTTCATCGGCACCGGGGGAGACCCTCCCTGTGTGACTACTGTCGTACTCGTCAGTAGCCAACGTGGAATTGTCGGGTATTCGCATATCTGAAGTCTCTACGGATGAAGCGGACGTCGAGATGGACGAGTTAACGTAAGCCGGGGCCGCTGGTTCAGGTCGAAATCCGGGGAAGAATATCTCACCTGTGCCAGCGCTGCGGTCGACCTCCATTGCTGCATCACCACCAAGTGCAAACTCTTCCTCCTCTTCTTCCACCACCATGGGGGTTGTTGTGTGTTGATGGCCACCCGAGGGCAGAAATGTGGAGGACGCCACTGGCGAAGACCACGGTTTTCGGACAGTCTTCTGGGCAGCTTGGAACATTTCATTCAAGTTGTCCGTCCCGAGGAGACTTGCCGTCCCGAATCTCGAATCACTGTCAGCGGAACTAGTATTCGCTGGGTCCCTTACTGCATAGATGGATGCATCGAAGAAACTTGCTTCGGTGAGCCCTGAAACCAAGCTTTCTGATCGAGCAAAATCCGGCGGACAGGGAATGACGCTATCCCCCTGTCCACCTGTATGGGATGAAAACGAGGAGATTTCCGAAACCCCACTTCCTCCGGCCGTGGTGGGTTGGTACTTGCTGCTATGGTAGGACCCCACGACCGATTCTACTTGATCAATCATCTCGGCGATGCTTTCTTCATCATCTTCCGGAATGGTGTCTACGGAAAGAGTTTCGATGGACCTGGAAGCCGACTTGAGTGAACCACCCCCTCGCGAATGCCAAGAACCTCTTTGTCGGAGGCTCGATGGCTGCGTTCGAGCAATCTCTAGTTTGACAGTCAGTGCTTGTTTTGCCTTTTTGAGCTGTTCGACTGCCCCTGCCAACTCATAGTTCTTTTCATACATTTCAGCCAAGAGCTGTTCCAAAAGGATTACCCGTCTCTCTAGCTGCTCCCAAGCAATTGGTGTAATCTCTTCCGATTCGATCTGATTCTGTTGCTGCTTTTTCGTTGGCATGTTGGTGGATGCGGTCGTAACAAGGGTTTCCTTTTCAGCTTGACTGCTTCCCGCGACGATGCTGCTGCTAACACTAGCTCCCGACGGAGGGACCACTGCCATCTTCATTCGCAGCTTGGCTTCGTCGCGAGCTCGTTCCCAGTACTGGACTCCCAAATCCAGCAGTGCCTTGATATCTTCCTTGGGTCCACCCTGAAGGCGATTGCAGAGTTCAATGGGAGTTCTCCCGAATTTGTCGCGTTGATCAATGCTCTTTGGATCTGCCATTAGCAGCATGGAGATCGTTTCAGCAGTTGCAGCACTGAACAGAGCTTCGTGCAGTGGTCGTCTTCCGCTGTGATCGAATTCCGCACATCCCTCGGGATATGTCACAACCAGTCTAACAATCAGTTGTTCCAGTTCGGACCGAAGCACCGAATCATGCGTAAATGCCAGACAGGAGCAGGCAATGTGGATGGGTAACTGCCGAAGAGAGTAGTCCGAGTGTTGTTGGTTGCTCGAGTACTGTTGTTGTTGGTGGGTTCTGCTGGTCAAGCTAGTGGTAGAATGGCTTCGGTCAAAGATGCTGTGGATCTGAGACTTTTGCGTCGCATTGGTCTTGCGCTTGGAGCAAACCCAGACCATGGCTTCTTGAGGGTGATCACGTACTCGCTTGTTGGCGTTCGAGAACTTGTTGTACAGAATCATCCTCGAAAGCATAGTGGGGTTGCGGTAGAAGTCAACCTCGATGGCCTGTCCCTGGCCTCTGGAATTGCTGCTGGTGGGTGATCCCTTTCTAGTAGTAGTATGTGGGCTTACCCGAATCTCAGCCTTCCCCGTCGCCCCCAGCCCATGATCCTCAGAGATCATTGTCTTGGCGATGGACACAGAGTCCATGCGGTCTGAGAAGCCGCTTATGTAGAGGTCATCTCCACTTGCGAGGTTCATTGTTCGTCTTTCTATCTACTCCTGCTACAGAGACTCCTGTTTGAATGTTTCCAGAGCTAGCTAGCTTTTAGATGGTGGGCATCTGCATTGCTGATTGCTGACTGCTGACCCCTTCCTATTCATCCCCTCCTTCTTGATGGCGAAATGGCGACTAACTTCAAGAAAGTTCACGACCATCTCCTGTCTCTTGGATGCTTGGACAGCTCTTGGATGTTGTTGGAAGCGCTTTCAGCCAGTGCAGCCAGTGTAAATCGCTTCCCCCTATTAATTAATAGTTCTCTCCAATTTCTTGGTTATTAAATAGATGAGTCCCTGTCACATAACATTGGGGTCGTTGTCGAACGTCACAAGACATTCATTACTTAAAAGCAAAGAACAAGAGTCCAAGACCAAACTTGGAAAGTTAATGCTTGACGATCAACCACCATGAAAGAGTTAATGGTGTACGTGAAGCTAGTCTTTGATTCTTACGCAGGAGCAGAGTGGTCGCCGTTTTTGCGTCAAGGCTGCAAAGCTGCTGACAGAAGCAGAGTTTGGTCGCTGGACTTGAAGGTACCGTACGCTGTACGGTACATGTACGCGTACCCGGAAAGTCCCGCAAAAGCTGGAATCGCTGAAAGGATCTGTAAAAGTGTTGAATTTAAGTTCAACAGTGTTGACTTTTGTTAAACAGTTGTTCAACGCTTTTTTAAACGCTTTTTCAACACTTTTTCAAAACTGTTGAATACTGTTTAACACTGAATTCAACAGATGTTGAATCCAATAGTAGATAGTTACAGTAAAAGTGTTGAAAATAATGTACAAAAATGCAACAGTAAATCCAACAGTTGTTGAAACAGAGTCAACATTAAATCAACAGTACATCAACACTTTAATCAACACTTTTTCAACACTTGTTGGGTTTATTCAACAATCCAGCTGTTTAATAAAAGAGTATCCCAAAAACTTAGCTTTTGCTGGACTTTCCCGGTTGGTATGATCGTGCCGGTAGCGGTACGTACCTTGTAGTACCCACCACAGCTCCCACCACCACCACAACCAACCACACTCGCTACCGGTACAGGGCCTATTACAGTATCGCTACAGTGCCTGAAATTACAGTATCGCTACAAGCCAAGAGACTTGTTTTCGTTAAGGCACCGTAGTTGTATAGTACCAGAGCTGGTTGTGGAACGACTTGGGGTTGTACGTACCGGTATTAAAACCTCTGACGATCATATCAAGCTGTGGTGCCAGTACCGGAACGGTATACATAGTCATCGAAAGGAGGCTGATCATTACGGTTCAATACCAACAGAACGGATGGTGCCGAATTATGCCCAAAGCGGAGACGGTCAACCGTACAGCAAAATCACCTGACTTTTCCTGACCGGTAACAAGTCTGCACTGTACATGTAGAGAGTTTGGTCATTGCTTCGGGCTACCGGTTCCGTACGTTATGCGATACGATAAATCCCAGTCGGTGGTTGTAGCCTGGCGAGATTCAGTAATGGTCCTTTTACCGGTCCCTCCCAGCTTGTCCAAACAACGGCTGCTTGGGACCTGGGAGCAGCACAGTCATGATCAAGTTTCTCTACACCTGACGACAGCCAGCTTTACCCACCAGGCTCGCCGATGCCGGCAACCTTGCTCTACAAAGGGCAATATTTGGAACATGGCAACATAGTCAGAAGCTGATTCGATTCGAATTTGTTTCGCTCTCCTCTCCCTCGGCTGCTCGGTCTCTCTGCACAATCCTCGGCTCCTGAGCCTGAGACTCGCAACTCCCCGACGTGAATTCGCGCAACTGTGTGCCACAGCGGAGTTTAGAACAGCCGATTGGCATCAAGCAATTCCCACGAGCATGCTAGAAAATGAAACGCCTGGTCGTTCTACTGACGTCAGACAGACATTTTAGTCCCGATCACCACAAGACCCATTTCGATTTGCGTATCTTTCAAATTGAAGTTGAGGAGGGTTTGTTGACCTCGTTGTGATGCTATTGGCCTCTGACCGTAGCTACGCTGCTTCAAACTCCAGCATCAATGCTACGAACGTGGCTTTGGGATCCGCAAATCATCCCCTCTCCTTCACACATTTTCGCTCAAGTAGTAGTTTGCTGTGACAAAATCAAGATGAAGTTCACTCTCCTTTCTCTCCTTGTCGGCGCTGCCGCCGCCTTCGCCCCCGCTAGCCAAAAGGTCTCCACCACTGCTCTGCAGATGTCTGACTACAGTGGTGAGGTCGGTGCCCAACCACCAACTGGATTCTTCGATCCTTTGAAGCTTTCCTCTGGAATCTCCCCTGAGCGATTCGACCTCTACCGCGCTGCCGAACTGAAACATGGCCGTGTTGCTATGATGGCTGTTTTGGGATACATTGCTCCAGAAACTTACCGTTTCCCTGGTGAGGTCGCCTACGGACTCAAATTCGAGGATGTGCCAAATGGTCTTGCCGCCCTTGACGCCGTTCCCGCTCTTGGCTGGGCCCAGATTGTTGCCGCCATCGGATCTGTAGAGTTCGCTGGAACTCTTGGAGACTTCGAAATTGGAAAGCCCGACTTCACCCCAGATGTCCTTGCTGCCCGTCAATCCCAAGAAATCTCACACGGACGTTTGGCAATGATTGCTATCTTGGAATTGCTCCGTCACGACAAGTACGACGAGGTTGGTGAGCTCATCCGTGGACTTCCTTTCATTTACAACTAAGAAACCAATTCGGGCAGTAGACTAGACTCATGCACTACATATTGTGCTGATAGGTTATAATAATAAACTAACTCGGCGATTTGTGGCGACAACACAATTGTACTGAAAGCAAATCTAGTAGTAAGACGCGTTTGTACTTTACCTGATTTAGAGGCCCAGTGAGGAGTCAGATGGTGCTTTGATAGTAACGATACATCTGAGCCTCTTGAGGCGAACTGTGCGCCTCCAGACGTCGAAGCTAGTAGTCAGGAGAACACAAGATTGGCATTGAGAGAAGGCGCTACTGAAGTGCGAAGATTTGCTTTCCCGGTCTTTCGCAGGAAACAAGTGGCCTGGCCTTGCTTTGCTGGCTGTCTCTCGCCTGCTTGCGACAGTGGAAATGGGGCAATTTGAGATCTCTCTGAAACAGAAAGATCCGGCATTGTCGCATCTCATTGCTGTCTGGTCGAAGGAGTGAGTTCTGAGTCCGTTCTTGCAGCTGACATTGAGCTCCACTCTTTCCTGTTGCTTGGGTTTACATGTATTGCAACTAACTGTAAGATAGGTTTTTCCAATATGGATAGCCCCGCAATCCGGGTAGCCAGGGGAAAGATCCTGGGTCGCCCGACCAGACAGAGGTTGTCTACCGCCAGCATCGAGACAATTTATAGCTCTTCTACGGTAGGTTGAAGAAATCAAACTAGAACAGTGTGATGGGTTACAAGCAGCATCAACAATGGACGCATCAAGCAGACCAGTGCAAACACATTTTGTTCGGTCTGTTTCTTGGGGCAACACGTTGCTACATGTACATGTACCGGTACTACACTCATGAAATGCTGTGCTGGCTGTTTGTCAAAGAGGAACTTCTACAGTAGATTTTATAAACATATTTCAATTTTAAGCGGGCATTTTACGTGCTTCTCGTTAGTTTTCGACTCGACTCGACGGCAACCAGATATTGCGCGAATCCATCGCTTGCGAATACCGGTAGCCTCAAACTATAGTAAGGACACCAAGAGTGCCTCCTCGAAAACATCAATAGCAGCAACGAAGATACCAAGTGTAAATTTGCTAAGGAACCGGAAGCATGACGCAACTGGAATCTCATATCTAGGGACCGACTTCCACTCCTTCGCCATTCTCAGCGGCTGCAAGATTCTTCTCAAAATCTTCCTTTTGCTTATTGAGACGGTCAAGCATTCCAAAATAGTCGAATTTCAATGTTCCCTGCCCTCGGTTTGGACATTTCGACTCCTCGGGGAAGAATTTGTCGTGATTACAGGGCCCCCCAAAAAAGGTTGGAACATCTTCTTCCCCATTCAACAGCAGGCCCGCAAGCTTGGCTTTCATTTGCTCTACATCCATCAAGCAGACCTTGGATGCCAAGCGGCCAGGCATCAAAGGCAGGAGCAGGTTCATCACGAATTGTACAATGCTGGACACAGGGGCGCTCATGAGCAAATTCAAGCGGTCAGGATAGCCACGCACAAGAGCTTTCAGCATCTTGATCATGAACGTAGGATTCGGTGGCGGAGGATAGGAAGAATCTGAAACGCAAACAAAGTCTGTGACAGTGCTGGGCATGCAGCGAATGCCAGCGTCGGCCAGAAGGATCAAGGCATCGACCTCAGCATCGACGTCAGGGTACCAAGGCTTTCGGTTAGTCCGAACCCAGAGGACGGGTCGCCCGTCCTTGGTAAAACCATGCCAATAGAGGGATCCCGAATTCAACGCCGTGACCAACGCCTTTGCCTTTGTCAGCGCTTCCGGGTTTTCCACGGCTTCAGGAGCCGTTTCAGGGCCATTGGCCAAACCGACCAAGTCCTCCATGTCGGGAGCACTTGCTTCAACTCGCCATTCCATGACATGCGTCAATTTTTCCATGGAATATTCCAAGGGACGACGGACAGTGGGGTCCTTGGAGTACGGCTTGGAGGCCACAGAGAGAACATAGGCATCACTGAGGTAAGCGTAGTCCTCTGGAAATTCACACGCTAATTCGGCACGAATGATGGCTAATTCCTCTTTGGAAACACTGAACTGGCCTTCCACGCCATCTTCGTTCTCTTCTTCGACCGCGTCTTCAAATTCGTCATCCACTTCCTGCTGGATGGCTTTCTGTGCCTCTTCCTCTGAGATTGTTTCGCCCGATGCTGTCGCCATGGTCAGTCCTCTTTCTTGAAAAATAGACACGAAAAGCAGTCTTCGAAAATGACACCCCAGCGCCTGAAAGAGGGGGAACGGCTAGTTCTTCAGCACGGGCCCCGCCAAAATAAATTTCGAAGTTGAGTCACGAAAGGCGTCACGAGTACATTATAAGCCAGCCAATGCTGTAATTACACAGACCGTACAAGCCCATACGGTTCGTGTAGACTACCTGGTACCTTCCTTCCAAGTATCAAAAGTGAGAATGAAAAGCGATTGATAATCGGAAGTCCACGTTTAGCCCGACTACATGTTTAAATGTATGTAGAGTGTGCCTTTGTACAAAAATGATTCAGAAACTGATATTTGCCTACTAGCTAGGGCTCTTAGGGCATTCTCTACTCATTCTCGTCCTATTTTCTCGTCCTATTTTCTTGTCCTATTCTTGGGACGAATTGGCAATCTCAAAAAAATTTGTTCAAAAACTGGACTTAGCTAAAACGAGTTTTACGACGAGTCGAGTTCATTCTCTACTGTATTGGTCCTAAAAGTTCGTCCTAACTAAACTAGCTAGCTAGCTAGTGAGGTTTGCACCTCTCCTCTATCAGCCTATTAAAGGGGTCCTGATAGTGTGGCTAGAAGCTTCCCACAAAGCACCTCAGTGGTCCTGGTGTGGTGTTACTCTAGCAGGTAGCTAGCGAAAGCTAGCTACTCCTCCGTACCGGTGGTACCGGTAGGTGACCGTGGCTGTGCGAGTCTTGTTAACTCAATCTTGTTAACTCGATTGATGGTGATGTCATCAAAGGAACTCAAGGATTTAAAGGATTTCTTAGGACGATTCTTTAGAACGAGTTTCTTTTTTCGTCGTATTTTCGAAAAATAGAACGCAAATTTTCAGTTCGTCCTAAAAATCGTCCTAAAAATAGGACGATTTTGAGTTAAAGATTGCTTTTGTCCTAAAAATTCGTTCCAAAATAGACTTAGAACGAAACTTAGGACGAACGAATCTACTAGAGAATGCCCTTAGAAGGCTGCTTCAAGAGACAGCTCTTGCTTGTTGCCTTTTATTAAGCTTCTGCCCTTGCTGCTTCTGCTTCTGGTGTTATGGGTAGATGCCAAGATTCCGGGTACTAGAGCTAGCTACTAGGGTCTAGTAGGTTGGGGAGGATCATGGTGCCCCAAGATCTGTGGTGATGCTTGGGTCCGTAGCTTCTCGCCACTACTACTAGCTAGCTACTAGTACAGTAGGGACTTGGGACAGCACGCAGAGCCACGCATACATAACCATTAGACTATCTTCCGTGTGCTGTTGGGGAGTTGGGAGTGCGCACTCCTTGAGCCATTGGCCTTTTTTGATTGGTGTAGCTGCTCCATCCTTGGCGTCATTAACAGAGTAAATACCAGATATTTTAGGAGATTATTTGTGTAATTCTTTACGAAGCATATGGATAAACATGAGATAATATAGTCCAAACATGAGCTATTAGACTAGGAAACGAGGAACACTTCTAAAATATTCTAGCTAGGGATCGGTGTACCGGCCGTACCGTAGGCTGAAGAAACGGGTCCAGTCGTACAGTACGCTGCAGTCGTACCGGTGGCAAGAATGTTCTGGATTCGATTGAGATTCATCATGCCGCTGCCGATGCTTTTTCATTTCGCCAACGAAACGAGAAACAAACCAAATTTTAGGATACAATCACTTGCAATTTTGTTCAGATCAACCCACTGCTGCTGTAGTTGAATGCGGCATAAAGGAGCACCAAAAGCGGTTGCATTGTTGGGCAAACTAGATCCATTTTCTTTCGACAACCCACACAAATTCTATCTAGTAGGAAGTAGAAGAGGCACAAATAATAATGGCTCCTGCGAATCTCCAGTCATTTTACTCTACCTTTTCTGCGTCTATTCGCAGTGTTGGGACTGCCGTGACTCTGGCTGCTGTGGGTGTTTATTTGCACAGGAGAGAGTGTGTTTCCTCGGAGGGAAAAAGAACGTTGGCAAGGATATCCCAGCAAGTAACGTTTCCCCTTTTTCTGTTTACAAAGATTTGCTATTGCAATCAAGATTGGAGTTCAGAGCCGTGTCCCGATGTTACCAAGAGCCTTAAGGATGTCTGGATCCTGCTATTTTGGCCAGCAGTGGTTGTAAGCATTGGGCTCCTTGTTGGATATGCCGCTGCAATCGTATCGGGGACTCCAAAGAGCCAGCGACGCAGTGTCTACGCAGCTTGTGGCTTTGGCAATTCCACCGGTCTTCCAATTACCCTTTTAACGTGAGTTTGATGGCGCTACTTTCATGGACGGTGACGACTACACTCTTTCTGTATTTATGCAACTCATTGTTCTTGTCTTGTTTTCTTCTATCTCCCAGTGTTGTCCACGCCAATTTTCCTGAAACGTCTGACCTAGGAAAAATTGACCCAACTCTTTTCTTGTCTGTGTACCTATTATTGTACCCAGTACTGCAATGGGGGGTGGGAGGTTGGCTTCTAGCGCCCGAAGAGGAAGCTCCAGAGAAATCTGCACCGACTGAAACTCTGATTCGAAGCACCCAGGCAGAGGAGGGATTGACGCACGGTCATCTAACACACACCATCAACCGCAATGTACTCAACAATCGACAAAAAGAAACATTCTACATGCTCTCCAGGAAAGCCATTGGGGAGACGGATGCTAGTTTGTACATTTCAGATGCTGACTTGGTCCACCATTTTGCTGGAAACGTGTCCTCAGAATCTCTCAATGGTCTCCTTCCCAAGGTGCACCAGAATTGTGATGATGACGATGATTATGGCCAAGCAGTGGAGTTTGATGAAGGCGCGTATCCATCGACAACTCCACTCTCACCCATCATGGATGAAACGGAAGTTTCCATGCCTGACGGAGCTCCGCATATCCCAATCCAACAGGAACCTAGTGAAACTACGGGGTTATTGTCCAACGGGGAACAGCATCCTTATGAAACCGTCATGCTGGCTAATACTCCAGCTGATCATATCAGAGATTCTCAGAGAGTCAAAGCTCGTGATTCTATGAGATCCATTGCAACTGAATATGAAACAGAAACATTTTGTGAGACTTGCAACAAAGTCTTGTCACGTTGTTTGCAGCCTCCTGTCGTGGGGGCTCTTGCTGGAATTTTTGTTGCTGCAACGCCATTACGTGGGGTTTTTGTGGATTTGGTGGATCGATCATCAAGCGCGCCATTGGAGTGGTTCTTTGATGGCCTCTACGCGGTTGGCCAAGCTGCTGTGCCAATTAACATGATCATCCTCGGCTGTAACTTGTCCGCCAGTTACATGACTCAGAAAGCTTCAGACGGCAAGGGAGCTGATTCCAAAAAGTCCAATCTGTTGTCGCAAAAGGCCATGATCAGTATTGTCATTGGAAAGATGCTGGTAATGCCAATCATCGGAATATTGCTGGCTCTCTTCCTGGAGGCGTACGTCTTGGATATCCCCTCAGGTAAGTCGGTTTTCCTCGTCGCGGAAACCACGGTTGTCTAGTTTCGTTCGTTCATTTCAAGATCTCATGACATTGTTGCTCGTGTGCAGACATTGATGGTTCCTTCTACTTGGTACTGATGATAGTTTTCATCACACCGACAGCAAACAACGTGATGGTCATGGTTGAGCTGTCTGGTAGCAACACCAAAGAAGGCATTGCTCAGGTCATTGCGTTGCAGTATGCATGTGCTCCTCTGATGCTCAGTCTGACCATGTCCTTGGTAGTCGGTATTGCCAGTTCCTGGGAGTAATTCAACGTCAACAAGCTGTGTTTTGTGACACGTAGGGTTATACTGGTTATACTGACGCGACACGATTGCTTGAGACTCTCTCAAGACTGTCCGGTTGAGGCATTACAAACCAATCACAGAGAGTAATCATTTTGGGTACGTTGCCCTTAGAGTTCAACAGGTCATGCCATCTAGAATTTCAAAAATACATAGTTAAAACAGTGTTTAGCATATGCTCAGTTGGAACTATACAGAGTCGAGTCGGAAACCAGACCCATCATTAGAATGAGTGCGGCAAAGTCAAGTCAATCTACACGTAGTTCGGCTGTTCAGGACAAAAAGGTTGTGTCTTGGCCAAATCAGCATCGAAACTTGTTTCCATTGGAGGCAAAGAAACTCGTTTACATGATTTGAGTCAAGAAAAATCACGCGGTTGGGCGCGTAGTGGTACACCTTCAAGTCATACCCCCATGAAATCCATGCGAAAGCTTTCGAATCAATGATCGCGCATGGACGGGACGACTTCCTTTTGTGGGTTGTTGTTTCCAGCCAAGAAGAACGAGTCGCTTTCGCCGGTTTTCCTCTTTCGTTCCTTCCTTCTCCTGTAAGCCTCCGGGATATCTGTTACCTTTCTTGGACCAGTCTAAACAATGACGGTATCCAGCTCAGCAGATTGTTCTAACTCTATTGGTGCCATTCGTCGGAGATCCACCGGAACATCGAAAGGTTCCACAAAATATTCTAGACCGCGCGCCCGCAAGAGGAACCCATTTCCAACCCTTTCAAAAGTGATTCCATAGTGCGATTTCATATCAGAGGAGTGGACATCCATGTCTGGCATTTTCATTCTGAGCAGTTCGTACACAAGAGGTGTGACATATAGCGCTGTGAATACATCCACAGAGTAGTGCTTGTGAGCAGCCAAGATGAGAGGAATGATGACGATCTGGAAAGCAAACAATGAATTGTACAGGGTTGTCAGGCAAACAAACGAAACAAACAAGCATTATCAATCCAAAGTGCCCCCGATAAAACCTACCTGAGTGGTTATAAAGGCCCATTTGAGAAAACCCCAATTGAAATAATGCCAAATGATGCATACGAAAAGCATGGTAAAAATTGTATGACTTGAAAACATCAAATCCCCACAACCGTTGGTTGCATCGACTCTCCAAAGTATATCATACAAGGATTCTGGTGGTGACCATCCGGATGGGTTTCCCCTGTCGGGCGCGACGCCATAGATCATTTCGTCCCTGGACATGGATTCAGGGATGCTGTAAAGACATTGTCGGCTTGCACCAGGGAGTGTAGTGACCAGGAATGAGATGCATCGCAGCACCTGGAGAACAGTCAGAGTGACAAAGAGTCTCTTGGTGATGGGGACACTGTAGAGGGGTCTCCGGTGAGGAGCTTTCCACCGAACGAAAAGGCAGGAAACAATGAAAGCAATGGTAATTGTCACCATAGAGTACACAAGGTACTCAGATACCATCCACCAAGCACCTCTCAGAACGGGCAGCACTTCGTAGGCAACGTCCTTCAAAGGAATTCTTTGTGCAGCGCTCAGTTCCGTGTGGTAGTAGTAGGCAATGTTGGTGCAGACGGAATGAATCCATTGCATCAAAATACCAAAGCCAATCGGACCCGCGTCACGCCAAAGCATCTGCAATTCGACCCAAAAGTGATTCACAACCTCTTCTCTGGTGCGTAATCGACCTATTCCTCCAACATCGGAGAGCGACTCTTGATTTTTGGTGGCGATCTGATGCTTGTTGTTGTATTGATTATCAAAGTCGCTTTGTTTCCGACGACTGACAATTCCATTGGTGGACGAATTGCTAAATTCTGCTTCATTATTACCAGGAACGAAGTCATCACTTGGTGGATCGCCGTTGATAGCGCCACTGTTGCGTTGTCGAAGGATTCGTGGTTGCGGCGATGTACGGTTGGTCAGCGAAGAGGCAACAGCAGCATTGGAAGAGTCTTCGTTGGCGCTACCAGTATTATAGCCTCGATCATAACCAACAACATCCGATGCCATCGAGCCACCATCTCGACTTGCAGACATGAGAGGCTCCACTTCAGAGGAAGAGGTACCAGTATTGGAAGAGGTATTCATTCCACCGCCCAGGACCGATCTCATGCTACCGGTACCGTCGACGAATATATTATGTCCACCAGACGAGGAAAATGCGTGTCGGGTGTGAGGTTGGGGACAAGGATGAGGAAGATGCACCGCTAGGAAATAAATATCGGTAGATGCGGTAAACATGATAATTCAATAAAAAAATTATCTTCAGAGCAAATCTAACCCAATCGTCATATTTACCTCAACTACCATTTTATTTAAATCTGTTGCATTCGACGTTGTTCCCGCACGAACCAACGAATTTGGATTGACCGGCGGCACCGGTACGGTACCGGTACATTCCTCACTCAAACTTAAGATAAGTGTGTTTATCCCGAGTTACAGTACTCAACTTTTCAGAAATGTTTAGATAACCTGGACACTCAGATTTCCCAAACCAGTAAGATAAGCTACGAGTACTGAGGTCTCAAAACCTAAGCTAATACTACTACTATGTGGAGACTGAATGCAGCTAGTACTGGTACCCACTATCTTCCACATCACCATCTAAATCCAAGTACTCAACATCTGCGTTTATGGGGCCTTTCTACCACAACATCTTTGGTTTCATCGATTTTGGCTTTGCACCTTTGCCTTCTTTAGCTTTGGAGTTGGCTCCTCACTGTCTGAGGGCACATTTAATAGTAGGGGTATGTGACAATAGCTGCTAGTGGCAATGAGATATGAAAGATACTGCTTGTAAGATAAAAACTCAGTGTTGCTGTGGCTGAAATGGTTTTAAAAGATATCTCTAGTGGTGGACTAAGATTATAGTTATCTTATTGATGAGGTAGAAGTGTACAGTACCAGGTGCTAGATCTATGATACCTGGTAGCTCTAGAACCATAACTGGCTAGATATAGCAAGGTGTGCTCTAGCTACCGGTAGAGTGTACTAGTACGGTTGCTGTTGGGACACACACACTGAGCTGAAGGGCTTTTCCTTTGGTCGGGCGGTTATCGGAGCAATGAGATTTCAAGGGCGTGGTGGTACCGGTAGCCTTCAGTTCTGATAATCCTTCATGCTGTGGGAAAAGAAAGTTGCAGGAAGCCCAGGGCTCGGGCAGCTGCAGTTCATGTACTGTATGTAGATGCCGTTCTCGCACGTGGTACGGTACCGTACCTACGATGGCTGTCTATCGGTAAGCGTACGACTCAAGAAGTTTTACGGGAGTTCGGGAGTTCAGAGTAGGTAGAAGCCAGCCGGGGCCAGGCTTTTGTTGGTGATCGAACTCGCTTCAGCTCGCTCTACCGTAGCTCTAGATTACAAATAAGAGTGAGCCAGCTGCGATACCGGTACCGACACTGGCTACTCGTACATGTAGGAGTGCTGCCTACTCAGCCATCCATCAACGCGTCGATCATGCAGTCCATCAAATCGTGATTATCATCCTCGTCTTCATCCTCGTCGAAATCGACACGGAGGACCCCCGCAACGGACTCAAAAGCTCTGCGGTCGCACTTCAGAAGAGTTTCAAATCCTGACGAGGAACTGTCCGGAGAGTTTTTTTCTTTCGGGAAGAAAACGAATCTATGTTTGTACCGCAGTTAGCAAGAGGCAAGCAAGAGACTGGTATCAGAATACTCTGGGTAGAAGACTTTGTGCTACCGCATGGAGGTGACTTACCTGGCAGCTCCACCTAGTGCCTTCGCTGCATCAGCCCTTGCTGTCCCCGCCTTCGCCAGAAAACACTTACGCCCCGCCAGGTCGTCTACAAAGACTATCCTTCGCCAGAACACAGCATGCAATGCACTGAGCTTTTTGCATTTGGCAGCATTTCCAACGCCTTGCGACTGGAAACGTTGAGAGTTGCCATTTGAAGTTCGCTTGGACATCCAAGCACCTACCGATTGGCTTTCAGCACCTTGCTTCACAACTGCGTGGTCGTCGTCGTCTAGTTTGATCGTGATGTCGGCGCTTTTCAGCGCGTCAAAGGTTGTAAGGACAATATCAAACGTGGCGCATTTTGAGGCTGCTCCTGTCTGCTTCTTCTCGCTGGACGGTAGGTCTGCATGACTGGAGACGGCGAACGGGGTGTGCTCTCTGAAGGCCCGCTCCCAAATGGGTATGTCTTCCTTGCTTCGAACTACAATTAGTGTTTGCCCAGCCAACGAAACATCAAAATCAATCCTTTCATGACTGATTGATTCATTTTCCAAGAGAAGTTTCATCACGATGCTCACAATTTGCACAGGCTCCAACGAGAAGACCACCCCTTTGCAATCTGAATTCCATTTGTTGTCGTTATTTGTGCAATTGTCATCCCTTCTCCGAATCCAGTCGAAAACCCGGTGCAATGTTTCTCCGCCCCTACCAATGAATGCCTTCAGGGGATCCCGGAACTCCTTCGGCTGTTGGCTTAGAGAAAAAGTTTGCTCTTTGCGCCGTTCTTGAGCAAACGACCGTTTGCTGGTTTTCAGCTGCAGTGGATTGTAGTGAACTGACGCCCCTTCCCTCAAACCAACCGAAGCAGAGACCTGTTTCCATCGGGGGTTTGCTCTCATGTCGAATCGAGTAAATTCAGCAATGTTGGTACTTTGATGCAGATCTCGCCGATGACGACTGTTGTGCTTTCTACCTCCCCTCTTGCTTATTGCCGGCGACGCACTTGGTGAAACTTCTGGGCTCATGTGAGCATCAGGCGGATTGTACTGTGTCCCTGCAATGGGTGACTGAGATGCTGCAAACGGATGCGTATAGGCATCTTCGGGTGCCACAAATGAAATTGACTGTTCTGATGACTGGGACGCGTTGGCATTTGGTGCACAGCCAACGCACGAATCAGACGAATACCTCATCCGAAACGAGTCTTTCCCTCGTTTCCCACTGGTTGATGCAAGGCGTTTGTGTGTGTTGTGCTGGTGGCTCTCTTGCAAGGGTGGCGACCCGTACATCGATCTCGGAGATGAACTAGCAGCTTGTCGCGTCGTTTCGACTGAAACATCCTGAAAAGAGTCGCCTCGGGCTTGAAACGACATAGGCGATCCTTCTTGTTTTGGGAGTTGACAGGGGTCTGAACAAGCACCAACCATGGATTCATCATTATTTCCACTTGCAACTATTGGCGAAAGTTGTGAATCTGAAAACGGATTTCGTTGTCTTTCAGCTGCTCTGGGTGGTGTATCAATTGAATCTATTGACCTCGATCTAGAAATTTTGGAGCTTTGGAAAGAGCTGGGACTGCTCTCCCTGGCAGCGTCCCGTACGGAAGATCGCGGACTCCTTGCTTCATTAATGTTCTCCTTGTTGGAACCTGCATCGATGCCCAAACGGTCGAGAAGGGCCACAACTTTGTCATGTTCTCCACGCTGCTGTTGGGAAGACATGGACGTGTACTCCCTTAGCGATGTTCTTGGATTGCGACGTTCAAAATTTGAGACCAGGCCTTTAAATTTTACTTGAAATTCATCATACTCTCTCTGTCGATGCCATTCCACGTGAACTGGCTTGTCAACAAGAAAGGCTTGCCGTACCTGTTGCTGGGTCGACCGTCGAGACTTTTGGTTGGATCCATCGAGGGAAGCAGGATTTCCCATGTAAGAGGCGCATGAATCCCGTGATGAGGGTTCTTTTGTTGCGCTGTAATCAAAAACAGGCTGGTTTTCTCGAATGCGAGTTGTCGAGCAAGAAGAGTCCAAATCTGAACAGCGAGTTTCGTCATTGTCTGTTGTTTGATTTCGCTGTCTGCGGCTCTCTCTAGTACAGGAGTCGGAATCAGACAGAGGGCTTCCAGGTATTGAGATATGAACTCTATTGTTGTGATTCAATCGATGAGAACGGTTGATGGTTTCTTCCAATACAGTTGCTGTATGACTGTTGTCGTCATCGTTATGTTTGCGTTGTCGTTCCTCGCGAAGTGACTCATTCCTTGTTGTATCTTGACAACTGATGGAATCCCTTGTGATCGAACCGCTGTCGCTGTCAATCACAGTCGTCTCATCAAGAAGCATATCCCTTGATGTGTCAGCCATCATTGTTGTTCCAATAAAGCCAAAAGCAGAAGAAGAAATGAAGAATATCCCCAAAGCACCAGAATATTTTTTGAAAATGACAGATTAACGGTCTAGCTACTCTGCAATATTATTGCTATTTTTGCGCAAGTCATGCCCTGTGGCTCCAGTGTGGGTCCCTCCGTTTGTCCCCCCTCCACGCCAGAACCTCAAGCCGCGAATTCCGCCATTGTTTGCCTATTAGCTAGCTGGCTAGTAGTCTAGACTTAGTATAACTTATAAGCTAGCCTGGCACCCGGTCCGCTTCCTTAGACAACTTCCCTACTCTACTATAGCTAGACTCAGGCATAATAGCTACCCAAGCACTACGACCTGAAGCTGCTACGGTTACTGGTAGAAAGCAAAACATGACTTTTGGTTCGATATCACAACTCCGGTATCATTACTGTGTGTGGATGTGCACCCGTGGCTATTATGGAAACTGGTCCGATTCGGTTGTTGCATCGCCAGCTTCTTCTGCTGCCGCCACCATCCGATTCGATTCATGAGAAAACAGGCTGAGTGACAGTCGAACCCTATCAATTCATGTTACAAGCCCTCGAAGATGTCCACGTTGCGCAGGCTGCAAAACTTGCACTGGACCTTTACGTCGTCTGGGCTTGTCTGGCAGTGGGCGTCGAAAGATTCATTCCAATCCTAAAAGGCACCAGAGAATCCTTTATTGAAAGTCCAATCCTATGTTGCGGAAATCTTGCTGATTGATGTGTCGGCGTTTGCACCGAGTCACCCGAAGCATTCCTTTCCGATCTATCGACGAATGAATCGAAGCGCAGAACTGCTCAACAAAAAGTAAAACTGGCAAGGAGGGAGGGTGTGCAGAAGCATTAGTAGTTTGTCGTTGTTTGCGTTCAAGATTCGATTCGATTCGATTCGATTCGATTTGGGTTTGAGTACTTACAGAAGCGAGAGAAAGTACCACAGCATATCCTGCCAAGCTGTATCCCGTAGTATCAGTAGCAGTATCACTATCCGTGTTGGTATCGTCGTTCGCTGTCGTGGTTTCCGATTCATCAGAATGTTGCCTCCCCACATAATACAGCACCGGACCTCCAATCATGGGTCCCAGCGCCGAGCCCAGAAAAGCCGCGACACCCCATATTCCCAAGAGCTGTGCACTGCCACTCTCTCCGTCGAATTCTTTTGGCAATGTATCTACCGCGAGAGAAGTATCCATGGTAAGGTAAATTCCATTGGCCCCGCCCAGAAAGATCATGATGAGCACCATGCCATGCATAGTCCGTGCAAAGATTGCGGAAAAGGTTGTCGCAGCCAGGACAAAGCAGGCAAAGTGCACAAATGGCTTTCGTTTTCCGGCAAAGAGTTTGTCGGAAGCAATTCCCACTGGAACACATGTGCATGCCCCCGCAATTTGTCCAATAATGGAGAGGGTTGCCACAGCTCCTTCCGGATCTTTTTTGAGTAGTATGATATCATGCAAGAAGTACATGAAAAAGGTTTGCACGGACATTCCACAGTAGTAAAACAATCGTGACACTGTGACCCAAAAGAAGTCACTGTGTTTTTCCATATCAATTGTGTATGACTGATATATTGCGTACCAGCTCAATTCTTGGACTGGTGTAATGAGCATGGATCTGAGAATCACGGCAGGAGTAGCCACGACTTTTTTGGTTACTTTGCGTGCTAATTTCATGAATTTTCTTCTTCTGCTGATTGGATGCTGTTGTTGTGGCGTACCTTGTCCATTTTGTTGTTGTCGCGTACTAGATTTAGCAGTTGTAGTTGTTGGTGGAAGCAAGGGTTGTGTTCGAATGAGAGCAATTTCGACATCCCTGTCATGTCCGTAAATGCCCGTTGCAATGGAAGAGACAATGACAATGCAGGTATAAAGTGCATACATGTCTTGAATGTTTTCCCTTAGGAATCCATGAAAGAGTCCAAATCCGAAAAGTGATCCCGTGACGAGCAATGCTGCCAGAATGCCATTGGCAATTCCGGTTTGTGAGGATGGCACTTGATCTGGTATCATTGCGAGCATCATTGCGTACATGATGTTGAGTCCAATCATGTGTGCAAAGAAAGCCACACTGTATCTGACCCAGAAGGATCGATACGAGGCGAACATTTGTCCTAGCAATCCAAAGACCGTCATGACACTGCCCAAGACCAGAAATGGTAGACGTTGGCCAATATCATGGGGTGGTGGTGGTTTGAAGGAATCCGATATCTTTCCTACTAGTGGGCTGACCAATTGTGTCACTCCTGCAATGGCCACAAAGGCACCCAGAGCCACGGATTTGGCAATGCTTGCATGTTCAGACTCTATTCTCTGGCATTCCACCGGCAATGTGATGAGGAAGAGCGTGGTCAAGATACACCCATAAGAGAATGCCGTAGACAGGATGCAGAGAATTTCCCAGATATGCAAGAGCTCTGGCTCCAACGATAATATTACTCCACCATCGCCATCGCCATTCTCTTCCTTGTCTTGTGCTAGTAATGCTGAATCTTTGGTCGAATCGTACAGGAAATCTTCCTCAATGACGGTGGAACCAGTGGCGGGTACGTGTATTAGCAAGGGATCCTCTTCTTGCCCATTCGACAATCTGCCCTCATCCTTCTGTAACTCTCCGTTGCCAGTCATGCTATAGTAACACAACACAAATCTGTCTCTATTATTATAAAGGTAAGTGTCGATAATGGAGTCGAGTCCTCAACAGCAATAACAAAGGGCAACAGAAGATCTACCTACGGTATCGATCTTTGTGAGGACTTTTTCGATCACTGGCTTTCTTCTTCTGCGGGTCGCGTGTAACGGTACAGGTACGTACGGGTCAGTAGGGTTAGAGATCTTAACGAAACTTTGTTTTTGATGCATGCTCTTGATCCATGCACCGAGCTCGTCAATGGGCTGGAACAAAAGCCGACGATGATGAGGCATGCACTACTAGTAATACAAGTATCGCCATGGTTGGCTCTGGTGCTGCTGATACTATCGGGGTTGATGGCACGCGCTGAGTCGAAGGTGATGGATGCCTCTGACTTGGCCGTTGGAGATTGGAGGGTCCGAATCCGTTGTGCCAAGGGCTTTTACGACAACCTCCTGTTTCCGGACCAAGTGGTTGGCATCGGCACCAGCCATGAGGACGGCAGTCTCGATAAGAATAAAGACTATCGCAAATTAATGCGCATTGCCAATTTTCCTTCCTTGCTGTCTCCACGACAACGAAAATACGACTGCCAATTGTCCGTCTTTTCCAATGGGACCTTTGTGTTGAGACCCGAACACACAGTCTGCAATCGCATGTCGTTGCGTGGACGATGGCAAGTCGATGCCAATCCCTACTGCATCACAGACAGATTCTATGATCAGTTAAATCTAGAGTCATGTCCTCGCGATCTGGTTGCCGTACGAACCAAGCCAGCCAGAATGACAACGAGGTTCTCACCAACAAAACGTCTCGTGGCGTGGATCCAACAACACAGAATCAACAACAAACACAACGAGAACAACAGCAACAACAACAGCAACAACAACCTGCAAAAATTCCAGCGAATGTCCTTCCAGATAAAATGCCGAGTTGCTGGACGTTATGCCAATCCATTGATTCGGCCAACGGGGAAACCAACCAAGGTCAATGTGAGACTCACACATGGAACCCTACTCTTGACACAACAAGAGCACGCGGCAAGCAAAACAGGGGCACACACAACGAAACATGCCATTGGGGCTTCGTTCATGGGTAGACGATTCGTACAACGGCGGGCCTTTCGGAGCTTGATTCAAGAGGAATAGGACAATAAGAAATGCTGATAAAACTTTGGCAGGCCTTTGATTTTTTTCTCCTCTGCAAAGATAGCCTAGCTACTAGCTAGCTAGCTACTAGCTATAGTAGCCTAATTGGTTGTGAGCACATGGTGCCAGGGCAACTACAAGCTCAACTACGCTTGAGATCGAAAGTTGTAACACGCAATACGGCCATCCTTGCTGTTGTCGCGGTCCGATAAAAGCATGACAATCTCAACGCCGCCTTCAATGGCAGAATAACGCATAACTGCATCCACCACATAATGCTCAATACTCTCACTGGCGACAAGTTCCAGCACGTCGTTCCTCAACTCGTACGCTAGCATGGTACCGGATGCACGCACTAGCACAACCACATAGCTGCCCAAGGTGCAAACCAAGGAAGAAGGGAAAACACCCATCGCAAGGGTTGGTGGTTCCAGAATGGAACTTACGGGCTCTGTCAGTGGTATGGAAGTGAGTTCCGTGCCACGATCTACGGAACCCGACTCGCCCTCTAACACGGAACAGATGCTCAGTTTCAAGCCATCACCATCCTCCACAACAAGGGCCAGGTGCGGCAGAAATGAATCCCCTGCAACACCTTCCCGAACACAAAAGGCTGCCCCTTGGACATCACTGCACAAAAAGAAGCAATAGCCAGGCAACAAATAGTATGAGAAACCTTCAAACCACGACTTTCAAAACAATAGATAGAACGCGGAATCCCCCTACTTTGACACCAGGACTGCGGAAGAGTCACCGCAAATGGGCACAATCCAAGCCTCTAGGGTTCCTGTGCCATTCGAATCCGTTACGCAAATCAATCCAACTCGGGATATCATTTCAGGGCCAGCCAAGCCATTGCTCCCTCCTTCTTCGTAGCTGACAATTTTCTTTCCCTGGTGTTTAATTTAAGAAAAAGCAAACGGAGAAACAAAGGTAAACAAATAGATGTCTCTGAGCTCTATCTGCAAACAACAACATTTACAATACTCACCTGTAGATCTGATCCGCGCTTCCACACCTGGCGAGGTCTTGGCGAGTCGTCGAGAGGCATCCAGTGGAAGCCCCCAACCGGCGTAATCAGCATAAAACACAACGTGCTTTCTCCTGCTTCTGGAGGAAGAAATCTCCAAAAGTTCAACTTTGTTGTCATTTGCAATTCAACAACTACAGTCCTCGAATTGAGCTCAAAAACAACCTGCAAGCGCGTCAGTTGTTGCACAACCAAACAGTAGAAAAAAGACATGCTGACTTCGTAAACCGCCGAAACCACACGTACCATGCGTTTGTCTTTGGCAAGGAAGCAACACAGAAATTCGCTTCCTTCTTCGTCGTCCAATTGATCACTGACAATAGCGCCACTGGCTCCAATTGGGTACGTCAAGGCAGGCGGCTCCTCTTCGTCTCTCCAGACGATGGTCTTCTCGGATCCACAAATGGCGATGCCACCAACACCATATCGGTCTCTTCCTCGCAAGTCGGGGAGCCCACCTCTGTTTCCTCCAAAATGGCGCGTTGCGGGAGGTCCACGAATAAGAGCTGCTGCGGCTGAAGATCGTACCTGCTGAGACAATTGTATTGCACTATCCCACAAGGACTTCTTGGGAGTTGCTGCAGGTTCTTCTGCTTGTTGAGTTGCAAGATCACCCCACGCAGACGCGTCGTTGTCGCCGCCCTTGTCAGTCTGACCCAAAAAGTCCATAGCGTCATTATTTGGTGCTGATGATGCGTCAGCATCCTGGAAACCATCAGGAGAACCAAAGGTGCCAAACGTTGCCTCAAAGTCGGTCCCTGAAGCGAGTCCAAACTGATCTGTTGTGCTGCTTTCCTCAATGGGGGTAGCGACAGACGAATCTGCGTCTTGGCGATCCTTTGGCGGTGCTAGAAGGCCTCCTCTTGAACCGCCTTTAGGAGGCGGTAAAAACGACTTTGGAGGGGCCAAACCTCCTGACTTTGGTGGGGCCAAGCCACCTGACTTTGGTGGGACAAGCTCGCCTTTTGGGGGGCTTAGACTACCAGTATCACTGCTTGACTTTGGTGGAGCCAGAAATCCTTTCCCCCCAGACTTTGGTGGAGCCAAGCCGCCTTTCCCTTTCTTGCCGATCTTCACCCTAAACTTCTTCTTTCTCACTTCGGCTGCGTCCAAGTATTCTCTAAGCATTCTTTTGATATCATCTTCACTCCTCTCGCTGAAAGGGTTGCAGGAAGTAGTTCCGATACCATGAGGGCTCAACACAACGGGAACACGGAACTGTGACAAAGCCTTCAGTACGTACCAAGCCCAGACTCGGATCTCGGTCAGGCGGAAACCAGCAATGGGGGTCAATCCAAAAACCAAGTGTGACTTTTCCATCAACTGGGTATTGAACGAATAGCAAAGAGACAAGACGGTGAGATCTTGGAATCCGGGGGAATACAGAGCACAACCGATCTCAACACTCGGTTTCTTCTCGCTCTACCTTGTCAACTTTGGAACCCAGGTTCTCCGCGGTCGGCTCTGGAGGCAACATTGATGTTTCTGCCGATCCCACAGCAATTCCCATCATGTACAACGAAACTGTGCACTTTGAAATTTTGTCAAAACCCTTTGAAGAAAAAGCAACGCAGACATGGTTCCAACGTTCAAACGACACAAGCTCCTTTTTTGTCTCTTCGTCGTCTCCAGCAGTCTTTTCAGAGGTAGATCGCAGCACTGTGCCACCACAGGTACGAACTTCCAATTCTCCAGATTTAAGCAGCACCAAGTCCCAAAGCATCGAGCGTTTGTTGGAAGCAATGCATACTTTAGAGAAATCATCAGCGTCCGCCCCCATGCTTCGTCGAGCCAGCACCAACTCTTTTGTTAGCGATTGCGTCGGGAGATAATACCAGAACTCAAGGGTGCATCTCTGGCGCCCACCTCGTTCGGGTTGGTGAAGTATTCCAACATCAATGCTGCTTCCTCGCGTTGCCGCAATGGCTAAGCCAGTTGCTTCTTCGTCTCCGGGGTCTTCAAAGACTAAATCGTACAGCGGCTTGACCTTGCCTTCCTCCCCTTCATCGACACTTGAGGTAGTTGGTTGCAGCGCCAGGGCTCCACCTTGTCCGACAACGTTTGCCTTGCACTGAAACCTTGACAAATCTGTGAATCCCTCCGTACGCCAAGCAATTTCATCATCTTCTCCTTCCCAGAAACGGAAGTATCCTGAAAGGTTCTCCTCATCCTCCCTACCTTCACCAACTCTGTCATCCCATCCTTTGGTATCGCTTTCAGCGTCAGCATCCTCCGCTTCCTCAGCTTCGTCGTCCTCCTTCTCATCCATTTTCAATATTTTGGCCAATGCAACTTCGCCGCGTTCCTCTGCATCCTTGACGCCAGCCTTTCCAAGAAGCAAAGGCTGGCGACGGCCAAGCCAATCTTCGACACTGTCCAGGACGAGCAAGTTTTCTTTCTCCTTTCCCGGACCTTCGTTCCTTCGCCATCGAGAGTGTAAAGAAGGCAGTGTTGGCCCAAGTCCCAGGCGCTTGTGCTTGAACAACAGAGAGTATCGAACTTACCAAATGTGCTTGGATTCGCTGCATGGATCCTGCCAGAAACGATCAGCTGCTGTACTCTGGCGCCGACTGCTTCCGTAACCACTCAGTGCTCTTTCTTCAAGAAGTCGTTGTCTGGATCGTTGAAAATGAGTGCCCTTCTGCAGCGACGGGGCTAGCGGTTTCATCCAACCCTTCAGATCTCCTCCTCCCCCAGCTGCCATGGACGCAGCCACGGCTGCCATGGATGCAGTCGCAGTTGGAAACTTGGAAGACATTGACAATGAGCCGGTGTCGAATCCACTCAGGGCCTTGAATAACTCAGTCTCGTTGCTGGAATTGATGGCACGTAATAGCGAGAGCTGCAGAAGCATGCACTCGGTAGACTCCGACCCAACCAGGTCTAGCATCTTGAAGGCATCATCGGTTTGTCCGTTGGCAAGAGCTTCAAGGCCAAACTCGCGGCACAGGAAGGATGTGCTGTCAGCACATCGAGGCAAGTTCGATTGCCTATTTGGGTCCGGATCTCGAACATACTCGGAAAGGTACTGGTCACCGTTGGCAACCAAGTGAAGCAGAGCGTCCCCATTATAGGCGGCTTCCTTCTTAGCCGAGTTTGGGATCCACGGCGGGAGTATTTTGCTATTTGTGGAACGGTCGAACTGGACACTGCCTGTCAGCAGCCACGACGAAGCATGTTTGAGGCCATGCTTGGATAGCAATTCGTAGACGCGTGGGGTAATTGCCGACCCTTTGTTACCTACACCTTCCTCCTCGCCGTGTGAAATGGAAGAAACCTTCCTTCCGAACCTTTCAATGACCAACCGGAGAAGCTCTGTAGATTGGCCGTTCGTGGCACCTTCGCAAATTGCATTTGCCACCAAAGGCTCAAGTACCAGTACTGGCTTTGTAGACACCATGGGTAGCAGGAAGGAGTTTGGGTCATCCTTGAACTCGATCAAACTGGATCCACTGTGCCACCGCAAGTACAGGATCCTATCAGAACGCAGTGCGAGCAGGAGACTCGAGGCAGACCCCAGCTGTGTAGGAAGCGTGACAATGATACCAGAGGATAGTTTCCCTCGGAGGCAACATAGATACCGAATCCTGGCATCTCTAGTCGAAAACGCCACTGCTGAGGAACCCAGGGGAGCCATTGCACCGTTCACTTCCATTGTCGACTCAGCTAGAACAGACAGGGTCGACGAGAGAATTAAAACCCTCCTCGTGGTCGACACAGCGAATTTTGGTGACACGTCGGGTCTGTTCGGTAGCGATATAATTGATTGAATGTCTTCCCCCTCATCAAGCCACAGACAAGACTCGCGTGGCGACAGCTCTGGCAAAAGGGCAGTCCAGCTGTCACCAGAAATCTGATCAGCTCCTCCCCAGGGCCCACAGAGAATGCAGGTAAGGCCATCCGAGTATCTCTTACCGACAACCGCAAGACCATGCTTCGTGTCGTTCTTCAGAAAGAAAACGCGCTGGGCCTCGACGAAGCTGTCGTCGGCGTCGACACCCAAGATTGGTCGAAAATCTTTTCCCTTGTCCCACCCGCTTGAGGTTTTCTGATAGCAAGACAATGAACTGCCGTCCCTTCCGAGAACCAGTGAACGGATGGTGCTGTCTCGAGAAGGCACGAACACAACATCCCTTCCTTCAACAACCTCGATGCTGGCGGGGCCAGCCTTGGCCTCCTCTACCAGTGCAATCGACACACAATCTGAGGACAAATTGGACAAGGGGCCAGTAGCAACGTGGTGGCCCAAGGCGGGGCGGAAAGGGACTGCCACGACAGCAGTGCCACGACATCGTACGATTCGACATGGCGAGAGGCCGGACAGGGCTTTGCTTTCCAACTCACAAATTACGCTTGAAACTCCACCCCCAACTGCGTGTTCTTCATCGTCGTCGAACTGGTTGGCTTCTTCGTCCGGCTGAGTTTCCTTTCGATCGCCACACAATGTCCTACAAAGCCAATGGCGGCGAGCCGGCCTCGACCAGTGCAGAGTCTTTGGTTGCTCGTCGCTGTCACTTTCAACCCAATCGGACTGGTTTACAGAAAATACATGTAGCACCCCTTCCTTGTCGCTTGTCGTGTCTGTGCCCAGCACTTCGCCCATTGAATCCACACCAGGTGGGTGCGAAAAAACTGGGTGTTTCAAACTTTGTACAGTTGGATCGCTGATGGAACTCGAGAAGGATGGGTGTAACTCTGCCACACCTGCAGCGCTATGGTAAAGCACGTCATTGCCACTAGGAAGCAGCCCGCTTGGAAAGGCCTTTGATTTGGAACGCCATGCCATGGTTGCAAGCATCTTGAACGACGCAAGGCTCTCCTTTGGTTTGCTTCCTTTTCGATACTCCGTCACGTTGATAGCACCAAGAACTATCCTACCCGGTTCGTCGTCTGCGCTTCTCTTGTGCATCAACAAGGACAGGCATGGATTGTTGTGTGGCCCAAAGCTTACCCAGGAAACGTAGAGGTCCTGTTGTTGCGTGGACAACCGGACAGCTGAGAAAGGGTGGATTTGCGGTGTTGCAGCAAGTTGTGTCGATTGCATCTGCGGGTTTGCAGATGGAGAGAATTTGCCTGTCTTCTCGTCCGCCACAAGAGGGAGCGCAACGTGAAAGACAGCAAAACCGCCCTGAAATCCAGCGGCAAGGAGTAGGAGTGATGAACATGCAGGTTGCGGGGGCAGCCATTGCAGGCTTGTGCAGATTCCTGCATCAACCTGTTGTTCCGCTACTTCAAACATGCAACAACAAAAATTAAGTCGGTCGTAGGAACGAATCACTGTCAGCCTTTCATTCGCAAAAGAGAGAACGCTAACTCAAAGGACGTACCATCTCCCTTTGGTCTCTTCTCTTCGGCAAAATTGGTTGGTTGCAAGCCTTTCAACACCCACAATGCATCCAGGCGACAGAGAGGGTACAAAAGACGTCGAAACGGCTCGTTCTTTTTGGAAGCTGCCTGTCGCAAAGCCACAGCATAGCTCCAGACACTAAGACTTCCATCTGCCATACCAACGGCTAGATACGGGTGCTTTCTCTTTGGATTTGATGTCACAGCCATGGAGGTAATTTTTCCCGATGGCCCCAAGAAATTGGCAGACCAAGACTCTCGTACCGACGGCTTGCACATGAAGACACATGGTCCTTTGGCTGATGCACCAGCTACAAAAACCAAGTTGTCAGCAGCCAGGATTGACTCGGGATCGTACGCCTTTCAGTACAGTCAAGCAGTCGCAGTGTCTCAAGGTGAGTGAAGACGCAAGTTGATTGATTCGTTCGTTTGTTCGTTTGTTCGTTCGGCCTCTGCAGACATAATGAAAAACAAGATATTCAAGTTCTAGTACGTACATAATCGGTTCCGGAAGGAGGCGACAACAAGAACTGAAGCGCCACTGGCTGACTCGTGCCATATCCCCATTGCCAAACAGCAATGGCTCTGAGGATATGCTTGGAGTCCAAAACCAGCTGGGGAGTTGCAGGAGAAACGTTGTGAGGATGGATGCATACCCCGCCACACGAGACTACGCTCTGGTACCGAACAGACCGAACTCACCAGATCGATGACTGCCACAATACGGACTCTTGGTTGACCATGAGACTGATGCATGCCCACACAAAGCTTCAACACATTATCGATCCCATATGCCGAACGGCTGTACTTGTTGGTGACTTTGCGATGTAGTTCTGGTGTAAGAATAGGGCTGGATAGGACCTGCACATAATTCCTGGACGGGTCAACCTCTACGAGCAACATTTCTCCATCTCTAGACGTGCAAAAGATCATGTTGCCATTTGCTGGGTTCATCACTGGCTGACAAGCAAAGTGTTGAGGAAAAACTGTCCTTTTGACCAAGGATAGTTTTCCCACCTTACGTCTTGGTGGATCTTTGATGGGTGTCATGTCCAACGAGGACCGGTGTGAGGAAGCACTCCCAAAAGCACTATCACTTGAAAAGGTATTTTGAGGATCAAAGTCTGCAAGGGACTTTTTGTCTGTTTTTCTAGCCGTGTCATCCCCAAAAGCAGCAGGCGAGAAGAAGGTACTATCTGCAAAGGCAGCATCGTTGAGGTCTCCAGTGCTACCTCCACCACCACCACAACCACCACCACCACCAGGAGTGTCAAAGGCCGAAGCTGCAAATGATGAGGGTTCATTTTTCGTTGACGATCCAAAGAACGAAGGAGCATCCCACATGGAAGTTGCATCTGGAGTGAAGCCCCCGTCATTTCCACTTTTCCGGCGACCGGCTGTGGATCCTTTCTTTTTCAATGAACCACTGGCAACATTCCCTTCGTCGGCATCTCGGGGAGGACTTCTTGTTCTTGTATTACTCGCTGCAGCTGCCCCTTTGCGATTCTTGGAACCACCTGATCCCCCCGAGAAGGCACTGGCAGTTTCGTCTCCAGTCTTGCTACTTCTTCTCCCTGATGTCTTGAGCGCACTCAACGAGGTCGTCTCCTTGCTTCGACTGGAGGGAGGTCCATCGGAGGTTTTTCGACGAGTTCCACTGCTCGACTTTCCCTTATCGCGACTCTTGGGTGCAGTCTTTTTGCTACTGCTTCCCTCGCCGCCAGCACCCGACTTCATGATCTCTTCCTTTGTTTATCTACTAGCTTATCGGTATCACCTGCATGATATACTAGTATGTTGTTGTTTGCATGTTGGATCGAACAGATCGAGTGAGATTTGATGCACAATAACGCTTTGCATGAAGATAGATTTAACAGAATGATCTTATAAGTCTTTCTTCTCATTCCACCCATTGCAAAAGAAACACTACCTCGCCGCCAATCTATCATCCTTTTCCTGCCCTCAATTGCGAAGGGCTTGCACGCAAATGCCACTCCTGGTGTAGGACGATAGGAACATAACCAAAGATCAAGTAACGATAGCAATGGCTTCTGCTTCTAGAGGACTTCCAGGATTTCTGAGGCGGTCTCTGCGAGCTGAGTTATCTGAAGATAGCGATGCCGAAGATTTGGATCCGGATGACCAAGAACAGTCTCAGTCTTCCCTTCCTAATGATGCTACCCAGCAACCCGGCAAAGACCAGCTGGACCCTGCGACGTCTCCAGACAGCACTCAAGAATCCATCAGCGACAGCGTGACATCCTTTGCAGCCAATAGCTCGGTTTCGTCGAGAGCCTCCATGCCGCCGTTGTCCAGCAGCTCGACTCCGTTGAAGAATCATAGAAGTGCCGTACCACCACCACCACCACCCACGGCTCCTCTTAGTCGGCAATCCAGCGAGCCACAACAGCCACGCAGCTCGCAAGACGAAGGCACAGCCACACTGAAAAGGTCCTCCACTGTGGTCCCCAAATCAACCGACAATCTGCATGGAGAGAAATCTAGTAGGCCCAAGACATATCGAGAAACCCAATTCGAAAAGATCTATGCTGCCAACGTGATTTCCATGAACGATCTTAAATCGGTTGCTTGGAATGGAATTCCGGTAGGTTATCACTAAATCCAGGCATATCCTGGAGAGATACTTTGGTTTGACAACCTAGCTAGCTGCATCTTACCATCCACCCTCCTTTCTCTAATTGTACTGATTACTGCAGCCACACTTCCGCCCTCAATCCTGGAAAATCCTGCTGGGGTATCTTCCTACCAATGCTTCTCGTCGACAACATACACTGCAGAAAAAGAGAGCCGAATATCTAGATGCTGTGGCACAACACTATGACATTGACGACAATAGCCGAACCATGCAAGAGCAAGAAGTATTACGGCAAGTACTGGTGGATGTGCCAAGAACGGCTCCCACCGTTAAGCTGTTCCGAAATGAACGCATCAAGAGTCTCTTGACGAGAATACTCTACATTTGGGCCATGAGGCATCCGGCATCCAGCTACGTTCAAGGCATCAATGACCTGGCTATGCCCTTGATTGTCACATACCTCACAATGGACGACTACGACCCGTCCACAGACAACAACAATCACAAAGCTGTTGACAACAACAACAACCAAGAAGTAGCAAGCAAATCTGACAGCAAAGATAACATTGATTACACTGCTGTGTTGGAGGGAACAATAATGGACACAGTCACAGATGAACAACTTCAAAAGGTAGGCACCTAAGAAGCATCATGGTCGTGCTCTCGTGAACCGACTTGCTAGTACACGGGAATCGTCGTCCCCAGCCTCATATGCATGTCCTCTGAATTGCTTGTCTTCTTCTTGTCACTGTAGGTTGAAGCAGATGTCTATTGGTCATTGACAAACTTGTTGGCTGGGATCCAGGATCATTACACATCAGATCAACCTGGTGTGCAGCGCATGGTGCTGCGACTGGAAGAGTTGGTAAACCGAATCGATGCCGATCTATGTGCTCATCTTCGTGACACGGGAATTGAATTCATGCAATTCGCTTTCAAATGGATGAACTGCTTGTTGTTACGTGAATTCAACCTCAAATGTGTCATTCGACTGTGGGACACATACATTAGTGAAGAGGATGGCTTTGAGGACTTTCATGTCTACGTCTGCGCGGCGTTTCTGTGTCAGTTCAGTAGTCGATTACAGACCATGACGTTTGACGAGCTGTTTGGATTCATGCAGGTAAGAACCACAATGAGGATGAACTGCGCAACGAAATGTCGGTACGGTATCACCAAATTAATGTATTCCTTACGTTGTTCCAGGGTATACCGACTGAAGACTGGGGCGACACGGAAGTTGAGATGCTTCTCAGCCAGGCGTAAGTGATGGCTGGTTTGAAAGGCTAGCACTGATTGTCCACAGCAAAACCTGCTAACGTGCTCTCTGCTCGTTTTTTTAGTTACGTGTTGAGCACTCTATTCGGAGGCAGTGATGCTCATCTGGCAGCAAACAGCACCGACAATTGATTTGCATAAAAGAGCATCGATTTGAGAAAGAATTTTCGACGTTCATGGCAATGCGCCAAACATGGACTCGAACTAGTGGTTGCGCTTGGCAACGCAACAGTCCGGTTGATAAGACCTACTAGTACTAGTATCGTCATCTCACCGACCGTACCATGAAGAGGAATCAGCCGTTCAGCCTTGCTTCCAATGACGCTTACAAATAGACTTTTTAACATCGTAAAGATCTGAGAGGTGAGCTCTGCTACTCTACTGTGCTCAGATTCGATTCTAACAAAAAAGTCGAGGCAATAGTTCGACTACTGCGTGAAGAATGCGAAGATGCTACTGTACAGTTCCACGCATCATCGCTACGGACAGAACAATTCAATCGATGGCAAGCAAACAGACCATACCAGGAGCTTTCCGACCATGATCTCTGCCAGCAATATTAGCAAACCGAGGATAGGCAACTATCTTAAAACTAATAGCATACAAGCTAGCCTGACGCAAACTGTTCGATCGGACAGATGGTGTCAGGGAAGAATGAGGATACCACCTGACAGAGGTACTTGTTGCAAGTAAATTGTGGAATTTCAAGTAAATTGTCGAAATCAATTCATTCACTTCGCAGTTTCTTGGCTGCTCTTTCTTCGTCATCCTCTGCGTCTCCTTCCGCAGCATCCCCATCCTCGATTGCTTCCGTCTCTGCTTGGAGCTTTTGGCTTCCAGCCCATACCCCAGCCGCCGGGGTTGGCCCATAATCGTCCTCGTCATCCGTGTCATCATCTGTTTCTGCATCTCCTTCGCTTTCATCATCGTTTGGTTGTTGTTTTTGAGCTTCTAATTCTTGTTTCTTCTTGGCTCGTTCCTCGTCTAATCTTTGCTTTTCCTCGGCACGCCGTTCCCTCGCTATTTGGACGGCGGCTAAATTTTGTCCGTATTTGTTCCCAAAAATATTTCTTGGACCAGCTCCTTTCCCTGACGCACACCCGAGACAGCCAGTCTGGGCAACCAGGAAAAAGAAGACAGCAAACGAATAAAATAACAACTGTGTTAGTTGTTAGTGGTATATGAACCCAACTAACTGAGTGATACCAAAATATGGCATAAATAAATGTACAAGCACTTACTGTTGGATCTTGGGCCAGCTTCTGATCCCCGGATCTGTCCCAGAGAGGAACGCGGCAGATGGAGGTAGTGCCGAACTTGTAATTGGTGGGGTTGATTGTATAGACGCTGCAGAGCCGTTCGTATCCCGGCTTTTTCCACTTGGCAATGAGCCCGGCATCGATCAGTTTTTGGTCAATGCAGTAATCGTAGACTTTTCGAGATATTTTCTTGTGGGTGTAAAACATGTCGTAGACATAGCGACTCTTTTGCCAGTTGATTTGATGCACGGGCCACATGGCTTCTGTTTTGCGCTTTTTCATGTTGGTTTCTTTCGTCTTGTCTCGTAACTCATTCTCCAAAGCCTCCAACACAGGTTCCACATAGTCAAAGCCTGGAGGGGGCTTTCGTTTCTTGCTCAGTTTGTGAGATAGCGGCATTGCTACTATCTATTCTATTACTGTACTGTATATTGAATCGAATCTGTTACTGGCAGCTTTTACCGTGAGTGTTATACGGTGGTGGGAGATGGTTGTCGTAAACTCGAGCGTCGATGGACAGCAAGGAGCGGAAGACAAAAGCTCGGACCACTTCTAGTATCTCAGTCCCTAATGGAGGAACTGACAAGTCAGGTCAGTCCTCAGTGTTCTAACGCATTGGCCATTTAACCGCCGCGTTGGCCGCGTCGGCAGTTGGTGTCGCTGGTAGCTGCCGTGCGCTGATCTTTGCGATACGCTTTTTCCATTTTGACTAACCATACTGTTGACCATGATGAAGGCTGTAACATTCTTGACGATCCTTGGTTCAGCTTTGGCAGCACCAGCTGTAGTATGGCAGAAGAACGGTAGTACAGAAGGCCCAGTACGAACATCCAAAGCATTGAAGGCTCACAGTCTGTTTTCCGACGTTCTCCATGACTCGTCTGAGTCGTCGGTGATCTTTGTCTGGGGAAGAGGCGCTGATGGATCCGAATCTTTGTCGACCATGGCATCTGCCGGTGGTCTCCCCAATGTCCAACAGAAATACCTCAATGCCAATGCCATTCATCATCATGTCACTGGCCTAGAGAGCCCCGACACGGTGCAACGCGACGCCGCTCGTGCTGGCAGCTCCAAAGTCATGTCCGTTTCCCTTGGCGAGCTCGATGTTCGACTATCCTCGTCACCCAAAACTGCCGAAATGGAAGTCGGAAACAACGGCGCGTTGTCCAAGGCACAAAAGTATTCACACAAGCGTCAGCAACAAATGTTGGATGCCAATGTCTTGATTGTCAATATTGGTGCTCGTGCCGATCCTGCCACCGTGGATGCGGCCGTTGAAAAGACTATTGATCACGACTCCATTGCCAATGTGGTCCTCACAGCAGTGCGATCTCACGAGGAAGTCAAGCATGAGCGTCTTATGGAACACAACCGTCGGCTTTCCATCATGAAAGAAAATGGACGCACCGTCTCTCGTCACGGTCGTCGTTTGGAAGACCAGGACCAAGACGGAGAAAACAACCAAAATAACAATGGAGGGGATGACATGACTGGAGTCTACTATGTGAGTATGACACCCAACATTTTGGCAGGACTCCTTTTTACCCTGCTGTTTATTGTCATTGCATTCACTGGAGTATCCTGTATGGGAATGATTGCTGGCCAAGACGTCTATGTAAAGAAAATGCCTCCGGTTGGACGTGAAGCATGAGCAATACTTCGGTAAAGGATCCTTCCTTTTGTTGTGTTGTTGTAGTCACTTAATTAATAAGCCGTCAATAAAAAAGAGACCATTCTACATTGTTTATTTGCTCGGGGTAGCTGGCTGGTGTGCTGGTGCAGTGTCTCGTAGCAAGCTTTTAAAATGAGACAACCCCAGTAGTCTAGATAATGAGAGCCGCAGCCTTTAATTTACATTTGTGGTTGTAGGCCGTGAAGGCTGCTGCGTTGCATTGCAACAGCTATTGTAACAATAAAGATAGCCTGACTAGAACTAGTAATGCCACGTGCTGTCGGGTGGTTCTTCAGCCTCCGAGGCAAAGAAAAGTGGAATAAAATCGAATGATTCGATTCCTCACAGTTCAAAAGCTTAGTATCGATATCACCGGGGACCCCGCCCAAAAGCAATACTCTACACCGTAGTACGAATACGCAGAATTGAAATGGCGAATCAATCCACTGGCTAGACACCAGCGCAAGAATTAGGGTGAGATACATACTAGAACGCTTCGACGGGAATAACTTTTGAAAGCACTCTGAAGGGGAAAAACCAGACTGCCCACAGAATTATTTCTCCCCCAGTGGGTTTGTCACCAAGAATTGGTCCCCCGCCATAGTTACCGTACCGTACCGTAGGAGTCCCTGCCCTGATCTGACCAAGTCCTCTAAGGTTCCGTCCTCTGGTATCCTTCTGTACTATCCATCAGATGGCTTTTTCTTTCTATTAGCTTCGACTTCATCCTCTAAACTAAGCTCTAGGTACCGGTCCGGTGCCGTGCTACGATACTCTAGTAGCTGCTACGGTTTGGACGACAATCGCCAGCGCCGGAGACTCCGGCCTGAAGAAGGTGAATGAAGAAGGTTTCAAGCCTTTCTGCTGGGTTACGGCTTACCATCCGAGAGAGTCTCAGGCTTGTTCTTGGTCCAATTGTCTTTTAATCACTCTGTCGGCTTGACGTGGCATCTTGAAGCCTTGAAGAGGAAACGAGGGGTTTCTAAAAGAAGTACGTGGAGGCTGACACACCTCCATCATCGTCGTGCCGAGACTGTGAAGCCGTGAAACCATTCTTTCTGCATGGATGGACGATAGCTTGTGCTGCCCCGGATCCCTATTGTTGGCATCAGTCGTCACCCAAACCGCCATCTCGTCGAAACCATGAAGGGTGTTGTGCTTAGCTTGCTACCGGCTTCGATCCTCCTTGTTTCGCCTAGGCACGGCGCTGGTTTTGTGCCTCATCAGCTTGCGCATGGTGGACTGGAGAAGAGATCCTCTCTGACTCGATTGGCATCCAAGGATGTGAAGGAAAAAGTCTCTGTAGGTCTGAGCCACGCGGAACCGAATGGGAGCAGGCGACAAAATGACAGGAATGGCCGATCAACTTCAGAGAGCTTGGCAGAGAAAACAGTGGACGATGTCGTGGAACTCATTGCAGAGATTGATCGGCGCGTGTCAGACGGATCCACACAAATATTAAATAACCTGACAAAAGGAATGGACGACAAGTTTGATAGATTGCCAGAAGATGCTGCAGTCGAGCTGTCAACCTATCTCACGGATCTTGCTGCACAGGTTCAAAAAGCACAACAGAGAGAATTGCAAAGACAACTCGCAGAAATAGAGGCACGCTTTGTGCGACCCTTGGAAGAGCTGGCCTTCTCCGATGCCCCTCTCTTTGAAAAGACTACGGAGGAAATGATCGCATCTGACCAGCTTGTCAACGGTGCCAAGCAGGATCCGGACAAGCTCATTCTCACAGGAGAAAACTCGACACTTGCTCAGACGAGGAAAATGAGGTCCAAAGAAATTCTCCGGAACTTCAATGTTGCACCGGTTTACTACTCTATTGCTCTTTGCTTGAGATGGGCACGAAAGGCATCCGAACCGTCTGTCTATCTCATGACTCTCTTCAAAAGTCTGGCTACAGTCATCAAGAGTGCACCTAAGAAAAAAAGGAAAGAAGGATACGAAGAATACTTGAAGGATGCTGAAACCATGCAGGCAGGGTGGAAAAGAACAGGAGAAATCGCAGCCAAAGGTCCCATTGCTCGCAAATGGGCCATTTTGCGTCGCTCTGCCGAAATCTGGGCTTACTTCAGTTCTTTTTACCTCAAAGATCGACGAATTTCCAAAAACTACAGCAGTGGTCGATGGGATGAAGCAAGACACAGCGCCGAAAGGTCCCAGTTGGGGGCGGAGGTAGTGCAGAACTTACTCAAACTTGGACCCACTTTCATCAAGGTAAGAATCAACTTTGCGGCGTGTTGGAATAATGTCACAACGAAATTCGTCTCATCGCTCATGTGTGACCACCACCCCCCGTATGGAAACAATAGGTGGGGCAACTTTTCTCCACAAGAATCGACATTGTACCCAAAGAGTACATTGAAGAGCTCAAGCTGCTTCAAGATAGTGTGCCCCCGTTCTCGGGCGACTTGTCAGTACAGATTATAGAAGAGGAGCTCGGGAAACCAATTGATGAAATCTTTGACACATTCAACAGGACCTCGCTTGCTGCTGCGAGTCTTGGGCAAGTTCATGTGGCCACAAAGGGCAAGGATGTATTCGCTGTGAAAGTTCAACGGCAGTATCTTAGAGAGCTTTTTGAGGTTGATCTTGGGCAACTACGGCAGGTAGCGGTGTTTGCTGATGCCCTCGACTTTTCATCAGAAGGTGGCCTCCTTGATCGTAACACGCAGCGAGACTGGGTCAGCGTATTTGAGGAAAGCAAGAGGCTCCTGTATGAGGAAATCGACTATGAGAATGAATTGAAAAATGCTAAACGATTCGAGTAAGTGACCATCGGATGTTACATTCTCACTCACATTAGTGTGCGTGCTAACCAGAATCTTGACCCTGATCTTGTCTGGGTGGCCTAAAGGAAGGACTTCGACTCTTACAAATTCAAACACATTCGAGTTCCTAAAACATACGAGCAGTACACGACAGAGAAAGTCCTTTGCATGGAATATGTACCCGGCATCAAAATCACAGACGTCGAAAAGATACAGGCGGAAGGCCTTGACCCAGTCGATATTAGTATCAAGTCTGCTGAATCCTTCCTTGAGCAGCTCTGCCGACACGGATTCTTTGTAAGTTCATCAAACCTCCAAGAGCGGAAACAAATGGAACACGGTTCAATAAAGCCTAACTCCGGTTGTGCGTGGGTTACCTTTGTTCGTCTTCCTCGTCAATGCAGCATAGCGACCCACACCCAGGCAACGTTGCGGTGGAAAAGGACGAGAAAGGCGATGCCCGTCTTATCTTCTATGACTTCGGGTAAGCCGAAGGAAACGTTTGTGTTGTCACTACGGCGGCATACTGCTAACACATTGCTACTCATGCATCTCCCAGTATGATGGATTCGTTTGGACCGGTGGAACGGAAAGGGCTCGTTGATTTCTTCTTCGCTGTGTACTATGATGCAGACGTGAAAGATGCGTGCAACGCATTGGAACGCTTGGGAATGTTGCGGACAGGAGCAGATGTAGACCGTATTGCAGTGGAACGTGTGGGAGATGACTTTATCCAGCGATTTCAGGAGACTTTACAGAGAGATCAGGGATGGGAAAACGAGTTGTCTGAAGAAGAGCGCAAACGTATCAATCGAGAACGTAGAAAGAAGTTGGGTGAAGAATTCCTTTCCTTGAACAGAGACAGTCCGTTCATCTTCCCGCCCACTTGGACTTTTGTTTTCAGAGCTTTCTTTTCGTTGGACGGTATCGGAAAGACCCTTAACCCCAATTATGATCTTACAAAGATCATGGCCCCGTATCTGAAGGAATTGTTGGATTTGAAAGATGGAAGTGCGATAAAGACAACACTCCTCCGTATAGGCAAGAGAGTTGGTCTCAGGCCGGTAGATGTGAATCAATTCATCACACAACCTCGTCGAACTGCAAAAGTGGAGGATATTGTTACACGGTAAGGCCGCAACACTCCATCGCTTGTTCCTCTCTGGTGCATTGTTCTCCCGAGCTTACCAGTTTTTGTGCGATGTGATTCAAAGTTTGGAGCGCGGAGACTTCAAGCTGCGAGTTCGTGCGTCTGAACTAGAAAGGGCGGAAGAACGGAGTCGATTGGCGCAAAAGAATCTGCTTGAGGGCATTGTATGCTGTTTTTTCCTTCAGGCTGGACTGTGTACATCGGTCGTTGGAAAGGGATTCAAGGTTGCAGTACCAATAACGAAGGGTCTCTTTGGGGCTGCGCTTCTGTTTGCAGTCCGAGTGCCCCTTGGAGTTCTTCGCGTCAGGAGGCTGGATAAATACAACGAGAGATATGGCGTAAAGAGATAGATAGACGAACATGTTACTCCACAGCGACACTTCTCAGCAAACTAATTTAATGTATTCGCAATGACAGGGATCTGAAGTCGGCCTCCAAATCCGATCGAGACGACAACCCGGAATTCTCCTGCCGTAACCGAGAACGAATTACGCAGCCTGTTACCGTTGCAGGTTACAGTACAACTACGGGTGTACCCAAGACGGACCTTAGCTTAGCAACCATTTTATGCTATTATTTTCTCTACCGTGCTTTTGACGCCGTGACGATGAGTGATGGATTCAAGGAAAGCCAGTAAAAGGCATTGCTGAGCCCATATCTCTTCGTGCGGTTGTTGACGCCCTTTCGTGGCTGAGCAACCGCTCGTATCCAATCCTCTTGGGTTGTTGTGGAATCACAGAGTAGCCGTTTGCGCCCTTGACGGTTCAACCCCAGGTAGAATTCCAAGCAGCAGAGAGGGGTTGTTTGACTCTTTGCCTCACCACCAGGCGATGCTGGAACACCTACGCCGTCCACGTCCTCAATCAGATCATCCATCAAAACGCTGTCGTTCTCATAGCCGTCCGATGAATGGAAACTGTCATCATCATCATCATAGTTACCCCACGGTCCAATCACCAAGCGACATAGATTGTAGTTGTTTCGAAGCATCTTTTTCCACGGCGCAGTTGAATTTATCGCTCCAGACTGCTTTAAAGAGTACAATGTTTCTTCGATAACCCCCGATCTACCGGTATTGGTGGGAACGTGCTGCAGATGCTCTAGGTTGGTAGTCACATGAAGGGACTGCAACTGTGATGTTGCATTGAGCGATGGTTGGGACAATGCTTCCACAAGTGGATTAAAGTACCACGTGTTGCAATCTGTCGCTATAGTTGGTCGAAGTGGTCCCACCTCGAGGCCGTCGTTGTCCGTCTGGAGCTGTCGTCTTTGTTGTAGGTGCAGTTTGAGCTTTTGGAGTTGTCGATTCTGCTGCACCATTTGAATCAAACTGTCGACTACCGGGCCATGGCCCTTCTTGTTGTTGCTGCTTGGAAGTGACGCTGCCAAGGATATTTCTTGCAAGGTAGGATGGTGTTGTAGTGCCAGAAGGACGAGTGACAACGCGTGTTCATTTTGTTGTAGTCGATGATTGCGTTGCTCTATCCATTCGCGTGTTGCCTCTTCATCAACTGCTGCATCTGCTCGTTGCTGAAAACTGTTTCGGTGGTTCATGCCATTTGTGGGAGACGGATCACAGCGAATTTCCAACTGTTCCAAGGAGTTACTGCTGCATTTTATTTCGTGACAGCATTCTTGCAACTCTGGATCACTCCCTGCCAACTCCACCACATAAAGCTTCAGCTGACGCAGTCCTGTACTATTAATACTACAGTTTCCTGGTCGAAGCAACGGAAAGAGCCAAGATCGCACGTAGTAGAACCGTTGCTGTTGTCGCTTTCGTTCCCTCCAAAAGGCTGTCAGAGCTGCCACAGGAAAGGGAGAATTGAACGAGATGGACACCTTTTGCAAGTTGGGGAGGCGAGCCAGCGCTTGAAAGATTTGTACTACAGCTGGTGTTTCCATGATTTTCACGGTAGTGTGGCTGGAGTAGTTCCAAAGGGCTACTTCGGCAACATTTCGATGCTCGGATGATTGCAGCAAGTGTAGGGCCAAATCAAAAGTCGAAGGACCTTGCAACACCAGCTCTAAAAGGCGCTCAGATTCATCGTCATCGGCTCCGAAGACGGGTTCTGACTCATTCTTCTTCTTCTCCGTGGTTTGAGGCACTTGCTCAAAATCCCACAAGAAGCTGCTGATTGCTTTGAAGGAAAAACACAGGAGAATCGCTGGGAATATCACCAAGGCTGCGTGGAGAATGGCTGGAATTCTTACTGGCAGCAGTTGCCAGCATAAGGATATTGGTCCGAACTCATCCATGGTATGATTGTGAGGATAGAACCAAACGATCGAAGAGAAAGGGAGATGCATGAGAGGGAGACCTTACTCGTATCCCCCCATTGTGCTGAGCTCTTGTTCATGCACGCACGGTGTTTTGTGTCGACCCAGCATCGACGAGCGCGATTCATCATCATCTGAAAGCAGGGATTTCACGTGAATACCGTATACTGGAAGCATTAACAGAAGCGAACCGGTACCATACCGGTATCCGAAGGCAATGCAAACCCGCGCGGTGGGGTGAACTGCTGTGGCGCCCCCGGTGACGTCACTTTCGCGACTTCGACATTTAGTCGCGCCAGTCGCGGTTTCTCACTTAGCGCGACTAGCGCGACTTGCAACGCGACTTAGCGCGACTAGCGCGACTTGGCTAGTTTTTTACTATTATAAAATTGCGACTTGGAACGACTTGAATCGTGAGTTGCGCGACTTGCGCGACTTAGCACGACTGTTATCGCGACTGTAACCACTTTCGCGACTTTAAAGACTTTTCGCGACTTCCACTCGCCAATCGGGGGACTTCCCGGTGGTGGGCACTTTCGGTACTCGTACAGCGTACCGTAAAAGTATATCCCAGAACTGAGAGAAATACTGAGATCGTGTAGGAGTAGTAGGGGATCCTACTGGTGTATCGATCGAGGTATCAAGGTATACCAACACCTGGTGTATGCTGGTTGACCATCGTTCGTTTATACCACTGAGAACGTCACCGCCTCGGTCGTAAGAAAAATGAGGCTCACACCTCTACTACTCACTGTTAAGATAACGTCGCACCTCTATCTCGAAAATGCACAAGTGCTCGAAATCGCTGGGAGCGAGCTACTAGTAAAATCGCTGGCTACTAGTAGCTAGCTAGCGTACGTTCGAAAAAGCCTTAAGTCCACGAAAACGAAAATGCCACAAGCCAGAAGTATTCATGCAACAAACTCACTATTAGGCATGGCTAGCATGCTTATCAAACTAAGGGCAACTTTACTGAGCATGAACAATACAAAGATCCTCATGCAGACTGTTCATAATGGTGTCCTGCTTGATGGCAGCAGCAATATTCAAAATAGTTCCTTTGTAATGCTCCTTAATCTTGGTGATGACCCAAGCTGGAGCTTTCTGAGCATTGACAAGTGTAGCCATAAGAGTCCAGAGTGGCTTCCTCCTGGAGTAGGTTGACTTGCAAGCCTTGATATTTTCAGCAGTGAAGTTCTTGGCTGGCTTGTTGCCACCAATACCATGCATCATCCACTCTTCCCAAGCAGAGCCAACAGTTCTGTACTTGGCTAACTTGGCAGGCCTACTATCAGCAGGGGTGGCCACAGCTCGTCTGTACCTGAGGCTAGTCTGGCCATTCCGGTGAGTCCTTTCCACAGTCAACCCATTTCTAAAAATAACGAAGTTTTATTATTTAGGCTGCACCTCAATAGACCACCCGCTGAACGGAGCCATATTGAACCGGAGTACCTCAGACGTACAAGGACGCCCACATAGGAACCGGCCTAGTCAACCCATTTCTAAAAAGATTACCATCTACCTGATCAGGTGTTGCCATCCTTGGAGGCTGAACAGCAATCCTAAAAGCAAACAAAAATATAGAGTTAGCAGCAGTAATAGCCATGGTTGCAATTGCTAATGTTGTTGGAGGAAATATACCTGACACCTCTTTACTATTGACTCGTGTATTAATCATCTAGTTCGGTTCGCATGCAAATTCATCATGCAAGGAACCAAGGGAGTTTTAGGTCTAAAGTGTTACGGGGGTCCTTATATCCAATTCAATCACAAGAATTGCTATGCACCACCAGAAAATCCTCACTTTTGCTTTTCAGCTTAATCTAAAACCAAATTACTCCCCAATAAGCTGCAGTATTACTAGCAAACAACACTGAAAAGCAAAAGGCCATCTCGAGTTATTACTACTACCGATCTCGAGATCGATATCAAGGTAAACCAAGTCAAAGACATCAAGTTCAATTGACTTGAAGTGAGTTAACACCTGCAACAGAGAAGAGGTGCGCAGTTCAGCACTAAAGCCACACTATAAGAGCATCGAAAAGGCTCTAACAGGATTGAGGTGCGTGCGCAGGAATTCCCATCTTCACACGCATACAAGGTACGATACGATCGATCAACAGTTTCCGGCCGGAACTGGAAAGATCCACGTACACCAGCTGATCAAGGAGAACAAGCTACACGGATTGTCCGCTGGAAGCAAGGAAATCCGGCTGTTATTCATCGAGTTGAAGAGGATTACGTCATCGTGTCATCGCGCGAGATTTCGATCCATCTCATCACAACGAGCAGAAGTCATCGAACGGGGATCAAGATAGATCCTGACACAGACGTTGCAAGCAAGAGGTCTCATACATCAATCAATAGAGGACATCTAGCCGCATCTCTGAGTATCAGTGCAAGCTTCTAACTCCGAAAATTGAGTGAGATAGGTTGATTCGAGTGATACAGTGCTATTGTGAAGAGAAACACAAAAATCCCGGTAAACCACACGGAGTCCTAAAACTCCATCGTTTGCCTGTTTCAAACTGTAATACTCACACAGTGTACCCATCCAAGCATACCAAGACCATCTGCAAGCTTTGCAGAGGCAACAAGAGGACCAACAGAGGCAGTTCGCTACTACCCAAGGATCGATACCACGTTCTACCGTGAGCTGTCAACGACAGAGGCTATCCAGCCACCAACAGTACACACACCAGTGTGACCAAAAGAAGGCTATTCAGCCAACAAGCTTTTACAGGCAACTACAAGAGTAGTGCCCATCGTGAGATCCTTCCTGCAGGAGTATCCACACAAGAACACAAGCTAGTTCCAAGGAACAAGCACAGCACAACAGTGCATTACCACACCAACGGCAACCATGAGATTCCAAGGAAGAGGTGGTCGTGGTGGAGGAAGATACCCTTCTAGGGGGGGTAGGGGATTCAATTCCTCAGGAAGAAGCCATCAAGGAAGAGGCAACAGCTACAGGAACCAGAACAAGAGTCCCAAGCGACAGTTCCTCTTCCATCCAATGGACAGGCTGACACCAGGTATTATCCTTTTGAGGAAACCTGACACACATTGTCCAGGACCTAAGGATCAAGCCTGAGTGGGATGATGTGCCACTGGCTTCATTGGCCATTGAGACAATGACAAGTCAGGCACCAACCAAGCCGACCAAGCCTACACTCCAAGTGTCACTTACTGATCCCCAAGCACAAGATAACGATGCTTTTGGAACTCAGCGAGTACAGGCAAAGTCATCATCTATGACAAGTCGACTCGATCCTATGAGAACATTCTCAAGACAGGTGCAACACCATCCAGGTGACATACTGTACCGACGCCATGAAGTCCAAGCTTAGAGGTCTAGGAGACTATGAGGATGCAGTCAAGCTGGATCCCATTGAGTTGCTCAAGAGGATCAGATTGATAGTGATGCAAGGCTCAAACAAAGAGTTCCCATTGCTACAATCATCAAGACCATCCAACGTGGCTTGTTCCCAAGCAAGGAGACCATACAGAGTTGACTTCTACTTGAGAAAGGTCGACAGCGACGTGGATCAAGTGTATGACCTGGTCGGAACGGAGTTATTGATGCCAGGACTATCGGATTACCTGAATATCAGGCCGCATCGGGCCACGACGCCCAAAAAAAGGTGCTAGTGACGGAAAGGGCAGTTTGAAAGCAACCGTGGGCTACCATGGCCTACAGGAAGGACGATACGGGACTATCAGAAGAACGTTGAGGCAGCCTACCAGGCCATGGGATCGTGATCCAATCCAGTCTCCGATCTTCTACCCGGGACTGGATCAATCTCAGAGTAGACCTTGTCCTGATAGGTTCAAGCCAAAGCAAGAAGAAGTTAGGACAGCGAGTAAGGGCAAGGAGAACTGGAAACCCATATTCCAATCTCCGAAGCCACCTCCTTTCTGATGTCGGCAAGAAATGAAGAGAAGGGCTCCAGTGGCTGTCCATCTACCAAGCAGTACCAGCACAGGCGAAGCTTGCTGACTGTTTGTGGAAGACACTCCAGATACAAGCCTCTCCCAATTGGCAAAGGTGACCAGAATCGAAGACCATAACGCTGCAATGGGCGTCACAAGTTCAAGGATGAGGCCTTCATGCACGAGTAATCACACAGATTGCGCTGCTTCCTCAGGCCCACCACAAATGGTGGGGCATAGGCTCCATAGAGTTCCAACACACGTGGTACGAGAGCGCAAGTCCAGCTCCAGGAGACTCTTTCGACCAGGGAGCGGCCATTCAGTGGAGTCTCCTCCACCTCCTACGAGCCATTGTAACTTTCAGCAGTTCCCCAGTCAAGCCTAGCCTCCAGGCCAGCAGCACGGCAGCGGTCATTTTGCTACGTTTCCTATAGGTCCAGCACCCTCATCTATCACAAGCGTCGATGGAGTAGCCCGCCATCCTGTATGGGGCAGAGATGATCGAGATTCTCACCAGACAGTGAGCCGAAGCTTCCTTAAGGACTGGGAGTCTATCATTCGACTACCGATTTCCTTGGAGGCAATCCGCGCTTATGCAGGAGAGAGTGGTAGACGATAATGTAGACATTCATCGCGAAGAAAAGCTATCTACTCCGCGTCTATCGGCCATGGATTCAGCTGGATCCAACGAGGGAGGTCCTGCACGTGTTAATGCGCATCGATCCGCCACCTTATCCATTTCAGCGGTATAAGAAACACGCCTTTAATATTAAATGTGAGGTACGTTCTAGTCCTTCCCTGAAACTGCTTGCCCACACTAACTCTCAATGTCGAATATGGAGTGATCCCTCGGGAATGGCCAAGGAACGATGATCAGAGTCTCCTGTTCCGAGGACACTTAGCTCGAGATACAGAGAATTGAATATTGCAGCTGGACTTGTACCCGGGCAGGCCCAGTACGGGCGCGAGCGGGAGAATCAGCATCGGCATCTGTTTTAACGTTATGAAGTATTTCCAAAGACACGAACATCACTATCCCAGTCCGA